AACAAACAATGCTGAGCTGTTATCCATTACACTAACTGTACATTGAAGCTTATAACATTTGGTATTCCCAAGTAAACCATCTAGCAACTGACCAGGTTTGGGTCAAAAAATTGAGAGTATAACAATCAAGATGAGTCTGAAAGGAAAGGTATGTAATCATTTTTTTGTTCACGACAACTATTTGATTCCCTTGTGGAGGTTACCTGACTTTACTATAAAAAAAAAAAAAAAATCATCACTAGAGGATGCTCCCTAAGCCTATAAATAGACAGTGACATTCTTTGTCATCCTCTCTTTTCTATTTTTCCCTTAGACAATAAGATGCAGTCCCCACATGGTAAAAATGTCCCTCCCAACCTACTGGAGCACACACGTTTACTTCACTTTCAATTACTTTTATTTTTCTTTCATATTCATTGTTTTGTCAGATGCAATAATCTTCTATTGTCTATGTATACTTTGTTAAAAATGCATTGTTGTTTGTATATAGTTTTGTTGTTACTTTATTCATTTATTACACACACTCATATTTGAGTCTGTAATGAGTGTTGTAGGAAAAATATACCAGGAGACACGTGTTTTCTATCTAAATACAATCAGCATCACTGCAACATGCTCAGGTCTTTTCACTATTATAAGATTCTTTTATAATAAACTGTTGTGTTATATTGTCTATAATATTAATATTTTATAAAAGATGGTCAAATGTATTATGCTAAACAATTTTTCTTGACAATCTTATCTGACACATTTATAAGTTGACCATTCGGCCGTGCTTTCAATATTGCTACCTCATTTGGTCAGGTGCTTCTACTATGTAGAGATTCTTAATAAAATCCAAAGAAGAGTCTGCAATGTTATTGGTCCAGACCTAGTATCTCAGCTTCAGTTACTTTCCCACCATTGTAATGTAGCTGCCTTGTGTCTTTTCTATAAATATTTTCATGGTAATTGTTCTGAGAAGCTTTCCTCTTTGGTACCTCAACTTTACAAATTTAAGCACAGTACTAGATTGGCAATTAGGTCTTATGATTTTACAGTTGAAATTGCTAGACATAACAGTAAGTTCTATACCGACAATTTCTTCTTTTGCATTTCTTGCTTGTGGAACTCTTCTGGCCTCTTGCTTTTAGGTCAATTTTGATCTTCAAAAATTTAAATGCAATGTCAATTGTTATCTTCTGAATTCCTCTTCTTTTATTGCTTTCTCACCTTATGTTTTTTCTTTTTATTCTTTTATGTTCCCTTGTGTCTTAGTGGCTTTATTACTTCTCCATTTTCTCTAATGTAAATCTCCTTTCTTGTCACATTTGTTATATATGTTTTTCTCCTCTACAATTATATTTTTTGTTAGTGTTTTTCTATTGGTGCTATTTAGTATTTTGATGCTTTGTTTGTTGATTATTTGTTCAAAGTTATCCATGTAACTTTAATTTTTATAGTGTTTCTAGTAAACATGTTTATTTACACATACATAGATGACTAAGTGTATGCATGCTTACACATATTAGTATCTGTATGCGGGAAGATAAAAGTTGAACAAATTGACCAAACTGTGTATTTGATCATAAAAAGAACTGTTTCCTATTTGTTCAGAAAAAAGATGATAATAAATTAGTTTAATCTGTTCTGCTATTCTTAAACACATACAAACAAAATAAATGAAACATGACAATTTTTTGTCTCAAAACCAAAAATATTTAAAAAAAAAAAAAAAAAAAAAAGAGGGAGATTTCCTTTCAAAATTAAAAAAAAAACCTTCCCTCTAAAAAGTTTACAAACATAAAATATACCTTCCATTCAAAAGCTTAAAAAAAGAAAAATATCTTCCTTAAAAACAAAAATAAATAAACAAAAATGCATCTTTTCAAAAGTAAAACAAACAAAAATAGAGAGTGAAAAATCGGACATTGGAATCATAAATTCACATTTCATCCACTTTATTTCTTATGTATATATTGGTATTATTCTTTTTCAAAGCTCTGATAATTACCAGTATAATTCATTTTTCAGGCTTGTCTTTAGTTGTAAGAATAATAAGAGATGGGTGGAAGATGTGAGATCCAATTTTGGTCAGCTTCCTTTGCTTAGCAACAGGGCAAAGCAAATCTGTCATCAAAACAATAAATAAAGACCCAACAAGAAAAATGATTCTTTAGTAACCATCAGAGCCTTACTGGTGGATATTAAATATACACGAGAAATGTCATAGGTTTGATTTTTGTTAATTGAACCAGGTGGCCAGTACAAATGTCCCCCGTAAACTTTAAAAATCTTTTTTTTATTTTATATAATGTACACACACAGATACACGCACACATGCACACACTTTTTACTGCATGAGACAATGTTGAAGAAGACCATAGCTGACTATCAGATTATTACCCATTGTATTCAATACATTATCCTATATACAAAATTTTAAAAATCTTAACTGTTCCAGCAGTTTTTTTTTAATTATAGTTTTGCATTGAAATTTGTCTTTTTTTGTGCACTTATATTTAAGAGAGAAAGTCTGGGGTTGTCTGGTGACTAATCAAAAAATGTCTAATTGAGAGGGGGGGAAAAAAGAGTAAAAAAGGAATGTTCTACTGACATGGAATCTGAGGGGAATTTTGGAAAAAGGTGATAAGAGTGGAAATAGATAAAACAAACTGACAGGTAAGCCAGAATTAAAAAAAAAAATTGGTGGGTGGAATTATGGGTAATGGAAAAGTATTGTGTCAGGGATCACACCAACAGTAGAGCAAAGCTCCAAATAATTGGATGGATTAATTAAAGCCAAATAAAATCCTTTTTTTCTCATTCAGTTCAACCCTTTTAAACTTCAACTGCCTATAAATGTGTTTGTACTCATCAAAGTCTAATGTTGCATTTGCCAAGTGGAAATGTCAAAATAGACAGTAATGGTGGTCCAGGGTTTGGGTTAGTATCCAAGCAAAGAGTAGTAGCACAAGTATAGCAACAACAAGTGACACCCCAAAACTTAGGTTGGAAGCAGAAAAAAAAAAAAAAATAGAAAGAGTAATTGCCATTATAAAAAAACACAACAAATACAGACATCTCTTATATTTTGCCCCCAATTCCCCATCTGCTCAGAATTTCAAATTACAAATAAACTCTTTAAATTATTCATTGTTACAATAATTCAATATTATGATCATTTTTGTTTGTTCTTCTTATCACATTAAAAATATAGTTGACCTCAGGATTTCACCAAGAAGAAGACTATCTTTGTAATGGCCTCACATTCAAATATAGAAGATTTTAGAAGAGGGTAGTAAATTTGTAACCAGATCAAGGACTGATTGTATTTTTGGCCCTCAAAACAACTTCTGTTCATTATTTTGTATAATTACATCTACCTTCAAAATACAGATTGTATGAGTGAACCTCATTCCTGTGATTACAAGCGCGCACACACACACACAGATAAAACAAAACATTTCACTCACTTGCTTATAGATATACTCACATAGCCAATGGTAAATACAAATCCATACAAAAATCACATTCAAGAAAATTTAATGCACTCATACAAACACGTTCTCACTTAATGTATCTTAAATGTTTTTATCTCTTTTTCAAATGTCTCAAGGTTTCTCAATTTGTCACATGCTTTGAAATTACAACAGAATCTGTTATTTTTTTCTTGCTTTTTAAGGGTCGGGGATATTTTTTTTTAGATAAAATTTGTTTTAAATTATTTGTTCAATAATTCTCATGTAAATGCAGATCCTTCACCTCTCCCATTCTTCCCTCGATTTTTCTTCTTCATTTTACCAATTTAATGTTTTTTTAAATTAATTTTTTTTTTTTTTTTTTTTTTAAGAGGTGGGTTCATAGTTTAAAATTATTTTGTTTGGTATTCAGTTTAGCAAAAACCACAGGTCTTAATGCTAAAAAATATTCTTAAAAGTTTGCAGTGTTTTAGAAAGAGAGAGAGGAGGAACTTAATTCTCCGTTGACACGGAAAAAGGCAAAGAGAAATTTAAGAGGCCAGTGGTTAAAAACAGGCAGGCAGAACGCAGTTAGGTCCCCTTTTTAGAAGAACGATCACTTGAGACGGCTACACAGCCAGAGAAGTAAAGTGTAACTGCAGATTCCTGGCACCTCAACAAAGAGTGAGAATTGCTGTGGGTCTCAATCACTCCCCCTGTCATCATCATCCCTTGGTGTTGATAGTCATACTGTTTTTTTTTCTTTTTCTTTTTTTGAGTGCTGCCAGCAGCTATAGAAACAAAAAGCAACTGAGGAAGCAGGGAAAGATGCTCCCTGGCCGTAGTTCCAGTCCCCGTTGTTTGCTTATTCAACTTCCTCATCAAGTTTTTGCTGAGGAATCAGGTGGGCAGAAAGGGAGATAAGAGGAAAGAGAGAGAGTTCAAGTCTAACTGGTCTTCTTTCATATATTTAATTTTGTTTTTCTTTTCTTTTCGCACATATTTACTGAGCCATTGAGTTTGAGGCTACACAAACGGAGGTGAGGTTTCCATGAAAGAAACTCATCATTTTTGTTTAGCACCTTTCAGATGGATTTGATTCAGCTGCTAGGAAAGAAAAGAGGGCTGAGGTTGATTTTGTTTGTTTCTCTTATATCTTTGGGCAACTATTTCACCAATGCCACATTGTCTTTTTTTCTTCTTTTTTTTCCTTTTACTTTATATTTTTTTCTTCAAAAATGATAGAAGCGAAAATAATCAAACAACCTCTACTGCCATTTTTGCCTAGTGATTGTGGTTGTGTGAATTCTTTCTTGTCCTTTGTTGTATTTTTCATAGCAGAAGATAAACAACCAAGTAGCCAAAATTGCTGCAGGGAGTGAAGGTCATCACTGGTGGTGGTGTGAGGGGTGGGGGCAAAAAATTGGAGCAGAAGATAAGAATGTTGTAGAAATTATTTCACGCAACGTATCCAACCATTTTTTTTTTCTCACCTAGACCCAGGAACTGATGAAAGACTTATTTGTATGCGTACAAGGACACTGACAAAATGTCCCTGACTTATGTATTCTCATTTATAAATCTATGGCGTAACAAGTCCTCAGCTGTGGGTCGCTCTCGCGAATTTCTTCGGAAACAGCTCCGAATAGTGTCTCTGGCAATTTCTGTGACATTAGGGGGCAGTTCATATTTTGGATGTTCAGAGGTGGCAATCTTATAGATAGCTGCCATTGTCTCAAGATCTGGCCAAGGGGGTTTCATTGTTAACATTTCAACAATTGTGCAACCGACGCTCCTGAAAAGAAAAAAAGAAAAAGATAATTAAAATATAATAAAAAAAAAAAAAAAGAAAAAAAAAAAAAGAAAAAATTAATTTGTTTTTCTTTTCCCCCTTAATCCTCAGTAAAAAAAAATCATTTATAGTCAGGTCAAGAATTCTTGCTTGATGGCGGGCTACTACTACTATGTGATCTGATACTATTTGATGTTATTGGAAAAGAAGATGAGCATTGTTAAATAATTCCTCTCAAATCAGATGTCACAACAAACCCAGCATAGTTAACAATTTCCACGACATGAAATACTGTTGGGGTCATCATGCACTTTGAGAAAGTTTAATGGTTATTTTCTAGTTGTTATTGTGGCATTCTGACATTTACTGTATTTGATGGTCATATTAGATGCATCCCTATTTCAGTAAGTCATTCAGGAAAAAGGTTTTAATGTATTTAAGCATGTAATGCTTAAAGCAAGCTATCACTACATTACAAAAGTCCTTTAGCTATAGCAGAAAACATTACTGTATATAAAAGCAAGAATGCTGCCAAAACAAAACTGTTCTTTATTAATCATGTTAAAGATCCCTTCTTGTCTTTCATCAGCATGGCTGATGCTAATCTCTAGGAGAGCAACTCTCCATGCTTTCTTCATTTCATGTTTTTTCCTGACAAAGTGGAATGATTATAATTGAATCAATTGCTAAAGTCTGCAGTGAGGAAAGTTGGTTCACTGAGAATGCTAGAGAATTTTTCTTGTCAGAATATATCTTGCACATTTATAAGTCTACCATTTATCTGTGCATCGAATATTGCTGCCACATTTGTTCTGGAACTTCCATTATATATCTAGAAATTTTTGATAAAATCCAAAGAAGAATCTGTAAATTTATCGGTCATGACCTGGCATCTCAATTTCAAGCACTTTTCCACTGCTGTAACATATTGCAGTAATAAAGAAGAACACTGCTGGCAATTTGTTACGATAATTCTTTTAGAGTATTAGAAGTGGTGTGTGTGGTGGTAGTAGTACTACTAATAATAGTTGTTTGATTAATATTATCAAGACAGGTTAGACAGTGTAAAAGTCCTTGCCAGTTGGACTTTGGTTAATGCTGCTGCTGGTCATTAAAATTGGTCTCTTTGATCTGCACCTCACCCTGCCCACGTTGTGTTGATTGATCACAGATCTGGCAAAGATCAAATTGTTGTCAGCCATTACAATTATTGGTTCAATTCTGGCAAAGCTATTTCACAAAGGAAAAATAAAAAAAATGTTCTTGCAGATGAAATAAAGAAAAGGCAGGAATTTCTCCAGGGTCTACTTCTATGTTGTTTATATCGTTCTTTGTACAAAAATATTAGTTCTTGGTACAGAAGTATTAACCTGTGACACAAGGCCTAGGGTGGTGGTTCTCTGACAGCAAGTCACATGGGATTCAGCAGAGTGATCGTCTCATCTGGAACAACTGCTTTTGTTGCTTCAATGTTCTGCTTACATTGACTTTCACTCAAAACTGGCTTGGGGGTTGATGTGGTTGAGTGTCTGGCATTTCCTCTATCTTCCAAAGGAAGTCCCTTTGTTGTCTGACTCTGGAAAATTAATTACATCTCCAATTTTGGAGAGATCTCTTTTCCTATGGGTAGTGTTCACAGGATATCAATCCACCCAACTCCTTCCTTCTCTTATTTGTGCCTCACACTAACAATTCCAAATAGGCATAGGCAATTCCTCTATACTTCTTGGTATTTCACCTGCACCTGTCACCTTGGTTGTTCTTTGACCAATCTGGTTCTCAACTGCATGGCATGGCTTAGTTCATGGTCATTAATTAAAATTATCATTTTTATTTCTCGACAGCAAATTTTCTCAGCCTGGCTTTGCTCATAAAATCAGAAATTTACCATCTGCTTCCTCCGGTCAGTCACCTCCACCCATCCTGCCAGGGTCATCTGACTTCAAGCACCCTGAGTTTGGGTCTTTACATAAAGAAATTCTACCTTCTTGATTTGTTTACAATTTCCATTTTTTGATAGGCAAATAAATCATTTTTCTCCATTTGTCTCTGTCCTGAAATCACCAAATTTTATCTCTCAATTTGTGTTTTCATAACTGACACTCTTTAGGCAGTGTCATCAATCAGCTCTTAGCTAAGTATTGCCACATGGCCTTTGTGGTAATATCTTGTAAACAGAATTGCTTTACCTCAAGTTATCTCTGTCCTAAAAAAAAAAAATAGACTTTTGAAATTAAAAGAAATCTTCTGGCTTTCTCTCAGTCTGTCCATCATTCTACTCTTCAATCCTTTTTGTTTTGTTCCAAGCTTATATTTTTAACTTAACCTCTTACTTTCCATTTGCCAGTATCACAGTGTCATAGTAGAAGTAACTATTTGAGGTAAAATTAAAGCTGACTGTTGTGAGTTAATTAATCTACGAAAGGCCTCAACTTCACATATATGATACAAGGTGAATTTTTGAGCTTTTTTATTTTTTAAATAAGTATCTTATATGCTACCAAATACAGTAACTTCTTATAACATTATTCTTATTTTGAAGGAACTTAAAAATGATTAACTAGTTTCTTCCATCCTTCCTTGTAGGATCCAAGAGACAAGTGATTTGCTAGAAATAATTGGATATACCAAAATCAACCAAGTACAAAAAATGTAAATATCTAGCTAGTATTTTAACAGGATTAAATAATCCAGAACCTATACTAGCAGTAAATTGCTAGAATTCAGTAAATATATACAAAACAGGTGTAAAATAAGGATTAATTCAACCTATACAGTGAAGGAATTCTGAGAGAATTAATAGACCTACCAGGGTGCATTATTGACAACTACAATCATAACATAAAATAATGCTGGAAAGTGAGAAGAAAGAACTAAAGCTCAATTGCAAGAAGACAGAGTGCATGGTTGTTAGCAAAAGGAACAGCACAACATTCAAATTACAAATTGGAGATACCAAAATCAAACAAGTACAAAAATTTAAACATCTAGCAAATATTTTAACAGAGGATGGTAAATGTGACATTAAAGTTGCATTGGAATCGTGAAAGACACCTTCCAAAAGCTAAATTAAGAAACAGTTAGTGTTCCATAACATCAATGATGATGATGATGATTGTGTAAGTACTTCCAGTCCCACTAGCAAATGCTGAGAGCAAAACAGAATCTGCATAAAACAGTTGTTGACTTTAGAACGTCTCGTATCATCTTTGTGTTGCTTCAACTTTTAGCAGCCAGATTACATATTTTCCACCCTAAGCCCAGTTGAACAGTTAGAAACAAAGAAAAGAGTGTAGGCCTGTTATAATATCTGTCCTCCTATATGACAATGAATGCAGGGCAATCCCTCCATAAATTAAGAAGAGACATGAGACAACAGAAATATGATTCTACAGAAGGATTCTGAAAATACCATGTGAATGACAGGGAAGTTTTAAGGAAAATGGAAACAAAAACACTTATACTAAGAATGAGAAAGACACAGTTGAAATCTCTAGGGCACATAATGAGGAAAGAGGGTTTGGAAAATTTAACACTCACAGTACACAGTGAAGTCAAGAGAGACAGACGAAAACATTGAGTAACCTACCTAATGAGCTTGTGTAAATGGTTGTCATAATGTGGTTTAGGAGAGATAACAAAAACACAAACCTTACTAAGAGCTACAAAGGATAGAAAGTTGTGGAGAGCCATAATTTAACTATATCAAAACAATATATCTGTCTGTTGATAATTGCCTATCTACGCAACTAGGGAGTTGCTACCTGCTCCAGGTATTTTGTCATTTACTCCTTGTTTACTAATCTAGGAGACTAAGGTTTTCTTTGGCTTCTACCCATTGACCTGTCTGGGCTAGGTTGGACCTACTTAGAGATAAACTCCTGCCAATATAGCTCTTTGGATCGCAGGAGTATGCAAATCACTCCATTACGTCAAGATAATTAATCCTAACATTTATTTATGACATTAGAAATCTGAAAACTGATAAAAATGTAAAAAAAAAAAATCTTCAGTAATCAAGATCAAGTCAATAATTGAAAATTATTTGCAACTTACACAATTTATATTCAGACTATTCTCCTAATCTTTGTTGTTATCATAACGTTTCAGCTGTTGTGCTCTCTGGCCTTCTTCAGGTATATATCGATCTGGGTAACCTACAAGGAATTCTTAACTGAACCATTTATTTAATTGACAAATCAGTTCAGGATTCCCTGGAGGTTACCCAGCTCAATATATGCCTGAGGAATGTCATTGGGCACAATGGTTGAAATGTTGTAATAACAACAACAAAGATGTGGAGAATAGTCCAAATATAAATAGTGTAAATAATGATCCCAGAAATTATTTCCTATGTTTATGAAATCAAAGAGTGAAGAATGACAATTAGGATTTTTGATGTTTAAGTGACATGACGGTAAAAGACCAAGCCATACCAGATGTCTGCTTTTCGACAATAACCTTCTCCATTGATAACTTCTGGTGCCATCCAATGGGGAGTTCCAATCACAGTTTTCAGCCCAGATATGCTACAAATTGTTTGCAGACGTTTTGAAGCTCCAAAATCACCAAGTTTCACATTTCCTTGTACATCTCGCAAAATATTAGCACCTAAAAATGGAAGAAAAACACAAGTTGTTATTTTTTTAAAGGAGAATTTTAATATATTACAAAGTAAATGATGTGTATGTACCAAGTGTAATAGTGATGATACTATGATGTATATATCAAATATAGTAAATTTGTCTTGAGATGATTGTGCACCAGATCCTATAGATTGGCACTATAAAATCATGAAAAACATGAAACTAGATCACTTGAAGTCTTCCACATATAACTAAAAGACAAAAATAATGATATAATCAAGATACCACGATCACAAAACAAAGGATTTGGAAGGAAACCGCTATTAATATTAGAAAGAATGATAACATTTAGTGAACCTAAACTTTATTAACCTTTAGCACTCTGCAATATTCTTAAGTATTTCATCCACTGGGTATAAGTGGCCAGACAACATTAGTATCATTATCTTTGATTTTCAGTTAGCCATTTTCCTGTTACCATAGTAGTATATGACAACACTATCACAAAATTCAACCACACTATTGACTGATGATCAGAATTGCATGCAGTACAAACATTTTGTTTGACAAATGAAATCATCTATGTACAGAGTGCTAAAGGTTAAGAGCTAAAGGACAGGGAATTTTGGAGAGCCATGACTGCCATCATCCTGAAGGGACAACATACATAGAAGAAAAGTTGATAAATTTTTGCAAAACAGATTAATGTATTTTCCTTCTCGGCTTTGTCTTTATTATGGAGGCATTTGCACAAAGAGAGATGATGAATCCTATCATTAGAGATTGTATCCCTCCTCCTCCTCTTCCTCCTCCTCCAATGCTTAATGAATATGTTCTGGCTGACATTCTTCTTTTTCTTTTTTTTTTTAAAGATGCAAAGACTAAATTTAAAAGCATGCATGGGGTGCATTTATCTATGTTACCTTTCTATTTGAACGAATTCATGTGGTGTATGCAATATATTCCTTCAGTAATATCTGGGACTATATTGTAAAAGACTTTTTGGTAAAAAATTGCTTATTTTTAATATTTTCTTAAAATAATTTTACTTTTGTTACATAAACAAATGCTTCTTTTTAAATATTTTTTAAAAATAAATCACATAAAAATGTATATATTCGTTTGTTCTTCATTTAAGATAAATTTAAAAATGCATGTGGTGGTAGGGGTGTATTTGTTTATGCTAGCTTTCTATTTGGACCCATTCAAGTGTTGTATACAATAAGGCATTAGCCACAATGATGCCTTCAATAATATCTTGGGCCATATTGCTAACTGTATCCTACACACCAACTTTTATCACTTTTAAAATATTTTCATGTGTATTCAACATAAAAGAATAAATCTGTTTTCACAGAACATATTTATTAAGAATTGTAGGAAACAGAAAAACACTAATGGTAGGATTCATTTAATATAAATATTTATAATTCTTTTTGTTCAAGTGCCTCCTTAATAAAAGCCAAAAACTTATTATTGCAAAAACTTATTTAAAAGTTTATTTAAAAATTGGAAACAAGTATAACATCAATAGTACACAGTTATCAATGACTCAGCTGCAATTTCAAAGTTGATATTTGTAAAGAAAAAACAAAGGTAAAATATGACTTTTAAAATTATTAGGGAGTGATTTGATAGTGTATTTATATTATGAACAGGGCCCCACTTTCTAAAATGATGGAAAAAAAAAAAAAAAAAAATTTCAATACTTTGCAATTCTGGCAAATGGTTGCATTTTTAGCTTAATCAATAATGCAGAGTATCCAATAGAAACGAAAATGGTGGTGCCCATGAAAAAAAAAATAAAAAAAAAAAACAACTGCGTTTATAACCATTTATTTCCAGTAAATGTCAATTTCTTCACAAAATGGCCAGGTAACAATGCCATAATAATGCAGTCATGAAAGTGTTAAATGATAATTTCCTATTTTTTCCCAAAATGGACCAGCACAGCCAGCTAACAATACTATAACAATGCAGCAGTAAAAGTGTTAATTTAAATGTAAAATATAAAATTTAATCACACAATTTGCTAATATACTTACATTTGATATCTCTGTGTACAATAACATTTTTATGTAAATAAGCCAATCCTTCCAGAACCTGTCTAGTATATTTGCGGGCCAAGTTTAAATTAAGTGGTCCATAATTCTGCAGTTGTTGTTTTACCGAACCCTAGAAAGAAAGAAACAATAATTATGTATTAATTCTTTTTGATTGATTCATTGTTCTTTTTGTTTTTTTTTGATTACCAACACTTTGTCAGATATTTAAAGCTGAAACCTTATTTTGGATTACAAGAATATTTCTTTTTTTTTTTTTTTTGCAAGTGAATATTGCATTAACAATTTTTCTTGAGAAGGACAATGATTTTTCCAGATACAAAACCTACTCTTCAACCCATTGCTGGAAGCTGGGAGAAAAAAATGAATGCATACTGTTCCATAAATGAATGTATCAAACTGCAATTTTCTCATGTCAAGCCACTATCCATTACATGACTCACATATTCTGTATTAATTCTAAAAGGTTTTCGATTAATTTCTATTTATAATTTTTCTACTTTTTTTTTTTTTTTTAGGCAAATGCAATCCTTATTTCTTTTTAAAATATTCACTTTCATTTTCTCAGAAAACATGCATAAAACTAGGTCAGGTGATATTTATTGAGATTTCATCTTAAATAAAAAAGCCAAAGTTATTTTTTTATTTCTTATTTTTGCCATAATAAACAGCAAAGTCATTTTTCCAGAAGACCACACACAGACATTTTTAATAGTTTTTAAAACAGATTGAAAGAAAATTTATTTCTTCAGACATTTAATGTATATTTTTAAAACATTTGAAAAAAAAAAAAAAATCCTTGCATATTTCTCAATTTTTATTTCCAATATTTGATTACTTATCCTAAATATTAAAAAGGAAAATAAGCTTTTATAATACAATCTTTATTATTTGCAAATGATTTCTTACAATTGTGTAGATGTTTACCTGTGAAAGTTTTATGAAAATTTTTAATTAAAGAAACTAGGTTTAAAAGCAAAACAGTTTTTTTATTAAAAAAAAATATAGAAGTAGAAAAAGATAAATCGGTTTTTCTTTAAAAAAACATTTTGTCAAAAGTAACAGAAGTTAGCCAATAATTAAAATCAACAAAATTAATTAGGAGAGACCTGATAATTCTGGTTTAGTAACTTAATTGCCTAATCTAATTTCTTAGCCAATAATTTCACTGCATTACATCTTATTACTGAGGCAAAAATTTAAATGTTAAATCTTAATTCCTCCTCCCTTTTTTTTTTTTTTTTTTTTCCTTTTTTTTTAGTGTGTATGTATGTGTTTGTGTGTGTGTGTGTTTGTGTGTGTATGTGTGTGTGTATATCTAATTATGTCTGGGTGCTTATGTATTATAATCTGATTGTGTTTTTGTTGTCTTGACGCGTGAGTTTAAGACCACATCCACAAACTTTAAAATAAAAACGGAAATGAAAGGGAAAAGGAAAAAAATATATATACATGTATTATCAAATGACCGGATATATTGTAGCGTCCTTGTCGAACGTAATTTCAATGAAGAAATGAATTGAATAAACATATATATTTTTTCTTTTCTCAATAATTTTGTAGTTTTTAAACTTAATAGTGATTAAATTTGGATTTTAAAATTACCAGTTTTTAATTTTAATATTAAATTTTATCATATAATTTTATAATTATTAGTTAGTATAAATTATTTTTAATATTACACGTATTTAAAGATCTGAATAGCTATTATAGCAGGATTTCGTTGTCAAGCTTTTGAATCTTTCTATACTTCGTTTTTGATTGGTTATTCTAGCTTTTGTAACAATGCTCCCCCTAGTGTAGGATCGTTAATTAATCTGAAACTTTTTAAAACCATTTATTTTCTTTTCAACATCATCACTTGAGAAGACACAGAATGTGTTGAAACAAAATGGCTATTTTTGTAGTGATCTTATAACATACTTATGTTATAATTTTTTATAAAAAATAATTATATATATATATATATATATATATATATATATAATTTGTTTTGGTAAAGTTTCCTAATGGTATCAGCTTTCAACTTGGTATCTATGCTGATGACACAACCATTTATTCTTGTCTCAATAGCAAATCTGATCAGTTTGATAAGGTCAAAATGGCAGTTGATATCCAAAACTACCTTCAGTCTGTTATTAACTGGGGTAAAGGATGGCTTGTTAATTTTTACATTTCCAAAACTAAACTGCTCTCCATTAATCATCTGAGAGAACCCTTTCTACCTTCCATCAGCATGGCTGATGCTAACTTCAAGCAAAGTGACTCATTGCACCTTCTCGGGCTAATGTTTTTGGATGGCATAAAATAGAAATACAATATTGAATCCATTGCTAGGTCAGATGCTAAGAAAGTTGGTTCACTGGATTGTGCTAGACATTTTTTCTCTCCAGAATCTATCTTACATATTTATAAGTTTACTATTTGTCCATATTTAGTATATTGTTGCCATTTATGGCCCAGTACTCCCGCTATTTATCTAGAGCTCCTTGATAAAATCCAAAGATGAATCAGCAATATTGTTGGTCCTGACCTGGCATCTTGACATCAGTCACTTTACCACGGCTGTAAGATTACCTCCCTTTGTCTTTTCTATAAATAATTTCATGGTAATTGTTTGGATGAGCTCTTCACCATGGTACCTAGACTCTTTGAATTTAAGTACAGTACTAAACTGGCGATGACGTCTCACCAATTTACAGTTAAGCTGGCTAGATGTAACCATAAGGTTTATGCTAATGGTTTCTTTTCTCGCACTTCTTGTTTGTGGAGCTCTTTAACTCCATGCTTTCCAGACAGATTTAATCTACAATAATTTAAATGCAATGTCAATTGCTATCTACTATCCAGATTACTCTTTTGGTATTGCTCTTTAGCAATGTTCCTGTTTCTAACTGTTCCATACGCAGTAACCCATTGTGTCTCAGTGTCTTTAATGCTTTGTGTGGAGTGAACTCAAAAAAAAAATGTATGAAAATTTTAGTTTTCATATTTGGATTTTCTGAGGCATCCTAATTCTTAAGTTAATGACTGAATAAGCTTCTTGGAAATTCCATGACTATAAAATACCTGTGGAAATTTCCCTATTGCATCATTAAATATCACAGCTTAACAACTTAAACAAGATATTGCAATAACAAACATAAGTATAAATACAGATCATTATTTAGAGATGAGGGTACAAATGAAAAGATTCAAAACTGGCAAGGTTTTCTATTTCACTGAAGCAAACGCTATCCCTTTTCTTTCTTTCTCATTATGTTTGCTTTCTTTTTATAAAATCAAACAGCATGTCTGGTTTTTCTTTTTCTTGTCTTTCCTTGCAATCAAAATGAAATGGTCTATTATTTATCTGAGGTAATGTCAGGTCGTAATGCACATGCTAACTAGCAGAAATATATGATCATTGAAGATGAACAGAAAAAAAGAGAAGTTATTGTATTGGCATTTATATCATATTATTATAAGCAGTTAATATCATAAAATACTTACCCCAGGCATGTACTGCATAAAGATAGACAGCACTGTACCTTGAACACAGCCAAAATACTGAACAATTCTTTCATGTTGGAAATTACGAAGAAGTTGAATTTCATTCTCTAAAGCACGAACTTCCTGAAGTCAAAAAAAGAAAATTATGCATTACTTAAATTGATATTTGTTCTGAAAAACTTTTTCTTTTTTAAATCTGAAAAATAAAATTAGTTTTCAGTTTAAACTCCTCAACAACCTGTTGTCCACCAGTAAGTTATAAAGAAACAGAATAAATGAATAATAAGTGAAAACTTATGGTATTAAGTGCCACTTAGCTGGAAGGTAGCAAATTCTGATTGCAGGCCTGTATATTCAAGGGTGCTTTCTAGAATCGCAACCCCCCACCAAAAAAAAACCATAAGCTGTCTGTTGGTGAATATTGAGAAGGGCAGAGTGGTGGTAGGAGAGAGTGAACAGTAATAGTTAAGATTGGTCAGTGGGAACATAGTAAAATGTCATTGGTGGAAACAAAGAGTCATACCAGAATTTGAACTTGACTCTCCAATTTCTCATTCTGAGCAGCTATCCATTATATTGCCTGCACATTCTTGGAACAATAAAGATGAGAATACTTTTTCAAATAATTTACTGAATAACAACAATGCTTCATTTTAGATAAAACCAGGAAAGTCAAAGAATGCATTAACAATGATGCAAAAATCAGCTTGTTTGAACTGGTCATTTAATATTTTTTTTATTTTTTCTCTCTTTTTGTCTCTTTCCTTTTCAATTTTTGTTTCCTTTTCTAACTGATGTTCTCTGTGGTATTTCAATGTTTAAATTTGAGTTTAATTTCATGGTTGAATTGTTCATCATCTTGGCTACAATTAATCTTAATATTTAATGGCCAGCACATGTTTTTGTTTTTTTATTTTTCTTTCTTTTTTTTACCTTGCTGCTACTGGCTACTTGGTCATGATTTTAGGGACAGACCCCCACCCGCCATCCTACTACTTCTTTCCACCTCTGCCTCTTAATATATTAGAATGTCAGTTAAACATGGCATGGTCTAAAAGTTCTGTGGGCCACAGTTTGGCTCTCCAAATAAGATATCTGACTGTTCATTCTTTGATAGAACTTAACTGGAAGTCTAACCCAGACTGATTGACTTGTAAATTTCTTTCAGTGTTAGGTCTACCATTTTTAATGCTGTTCCATTTATAATAAACATCTTGACTTTAACTAAGTTAAAACTTAGTACCTCTTTTTTCTTTTTTTAAATAGGAGTAGATAGGATTTCTTATCACCCAGTCCATACTTTTCACACTTCTCTTGAGCAGGATTTACTCCTGCTCAAGAGAAGTGTGAAGAGTTCCAGTTCTCTCCAAACTCCTGCCTTGCTGCTTCCTAGCTTGTTGGAAGTCGTCCTTTGTAGTTCCTGTTTTTAAGAACTTTGGAGAATATTCTGACCCATCTATCACTCTATTAGACTCATAACACTTTTCAGAAAAGTATTCAAGGCTTTAATCAATGCTGAAGTGGTTAAACATCTTACCTCTCACAACCTATTCTCTGACAAACAATATGGCTTCCATTTTATCAAGTCTATTGCTGATGTGCTAACTACTATCACTGACATTTATATCGTGTTCTTGTTAATAACAGTGAAGTTTGAGCTGTGGCTCTAGATATTGTGAAGGCGTCTGACAGGGTTTGGCATGCTGGTCTTCTACATAAGCTCCAGGGCTACAGTATTACAGGATGATTGCATGATTTGTACGAATCATTCCTATCAAATTGTGAAATGAATTTCATTTTGAATGGGCTTGCTTCCAGATCCTTTCATATGAATGTGGGCCCTACACTGTTTCTATACTGGGTCCTACACTTATCTTCTTCAATGATCTTTCAGATGTCACCAGTTTCCAAGTAGGCATTTATGCTGATGACACTACCATTTACTCCTGTCTTAATAACAAATCTGTCAGAGCTAACAAAGTTAACCTGGCCACTGCTCTTGAAAAGAACCTCCAATCTGTTGTTAACTAGGGCAGAAAATAGCTTGTAAATTTTACTGCTTCCAAAATGAAACTGTTCTCATTTAACCACCATAGAAAAACTTTTCTGCCTGCCATCAGCATGGCTGATGTTAGACACATGGAGAGCAACACACTGCGCCTTCTTGGCTTCACATTTTCAACTGACTTGAAGTGGAAAGACTACATCGAATCAATAGTTGCATGTAATGCAAGGAAAGTTGGGTCATGCTAGAAGGTTTTTCTTGTCAGAGTCCATCTTCCACATTTACAAATTTACCATTCCTCTGTGCATTGAATACATATATGCCCTGGTGCTCCTGCTACTCACTTTGAAGTTCTTGACTGAATCCAAAGAAGGATCTGCAATGTAATCGATCCTAATTTGGCATTCATAATGTGGCTTCCCTCTGTCTTTTCTACAAATATTTTCATGGTAACTGCTCTGACAAGCTTTTTTCCCTGGTGCCCGAACTATGAGTTTAAGTATCCTTGGTCCCCATTGTACCCAGTATTTTTTCTCAACTTCACTCTCTGTAACTCCCTGTATACCAATAGCATTCCCACCTTGCTTGTGATGAAATGATTTAAAAAAAAAAAAAATAAATAGTAGTACAATTAATTCATGCAATGACATGATTTCTACATAGCTTCTATTTATGGAGAGAAAAATTTGTTAAAATGGGTCATCTTGTTCTCAAAATTAAAAGAAAGAAAGAGAGAGAGAGAAAAAAAAGAAGAGAATTCTGAGTTAAGAAAAAAGTGAGAAGAGAGAAAATAAAAAGAAAAAGTGAAAGAAAATAAAAAGAAACCAGTTACTAACTTTGGATACCTCTGCAGTTTCTGTAGAGATTTGTACTTGCTTTACAGCAAGTTCCCGCCCTGTATCTTCATCATAACAAAGATACACTTCTCCAAATGCACCCGGACCCAACAAGCGTCCTTTTTTCCAGTTGGTTGGAGCTCGTGGGGCTGGAAACAAAAAAAAAAAAAAAAAAAAAATTAATCTTTTCTATCTTGAGCATTTTCAGATGTAAAGAAACGGGCAAATTTAATAACACAAAATTGAATTTTATTCAGAAAATAAACAATTCACAAAATTTTCCAAATGTAAAAATTCCCTGTGAAATAAAGAGTATTTACTGGTTCATCCTCTAAGTATCATCAGGCAAATAATATGGCATCAGCAACAGGGAAGAGCCATTGGCCTAACTTAAATCTCATCTCAGTCATCATGGTGTAGTAGTATTGAGACTTTTGTCAAGGTATCAGTTTTACTTGGAATTTAAAGTTAATGCCTCCAAAACAATACTGCTCTCCATTAATCACCTGAGAGATCCCTTTAGGCCTTCCGTCAGCATGGCTGATACTAATGTCTAAGAGAGTGACTCTTACAGCCTTCTTAGGCTAACATTAAGTGAAAAACTATATTGAATTCATTGCTAGGTCAGCTAAGAAAGTTGGTTCACTTGATCGTGCTAGACAATTTTTCTCTCCAGAATCTATCTTACATATTTATAAGTTTACTATTTCTTCATATTTAGAATATGGCTGCCACTAATGGCCCAGTGTGCTGGCTATTTATCTATGGCTCCTTGATAAAATCCAAAGAAGAATAAGCAATATTATTGGCCCTGATCTGGCATAACAATCATTTTTCCACTACCATAAAGTTACCTCCATGTGCCTTTTCTATAAATACTTTCATTAAAGCAAATTACTTTCTTTATTGATGAGTGTGGTATAACAATTTAACAAATTCACTAGTCATAGACATAAATAAATTTGACCACAATTTTGATCTAAAAAAGAAAGTAATTTACTCAGAAAAAAAAATTTCTTGAGAGTGCTGCCATTGAATATTATCAAAATATAAATCTGTTTTTTACTTAATCTCACTTTTCCTGAAAGAATTACTCCCATCCCAAGCCAACATACACAACCACAAATATGTTGAAAAATCAAAGAAAATGGTTAAATCCATCACCTCATGCCTTTGTAGATGTATTGCACATATGTCCATCTCATACCATAAGAATCTGATCACAATCCAAACAATATTCATTTAGAAAAAATTATTGAATATTACTTGCTCACTTTAGTTTTTACCAGACTTTGAATTATGACACTTTCTGTCCTCCACATGCTTTGACTGACCTTTCAACCAGCTAATGAACATTCATGAACGATCTCAAATTTATAAACCTTGTTAAACCGATGACATCCTTGCCTCTATATAAACACATGCTGCATAATAAATCCTACATTACTTTGATAAAGTCCCTCAGAGGATGAAACATGTCGGCTAAGTATAGTTTTTTCTCTTGCCTGTTTTTATATATATGTGTGTGTAAAGATTTTAAAAAGTACCAAACAAATTTTTGAAAAGCTACATAGTCAAACCAGTAAAGTAAAACAATTATAATAATTTTTCTCTGTAAACCTACATGTGTGATAAATATTTCATATAAATATATAAAGCATTATCTGAAATTTCAAATCTTATTTTCTCTACATAACAAGATTCGTACAGAATTTTCTAACAATTTCATTTTTTCCCTATGTATATATATATATATATATATAAGCAAATAAAATAAATAGTTCAAAAACTTTTCCTACAAATTTCAAGTTTTGCAGATGTAACCAGCACATGAGGAGGTTTGATAGAAAATAAATTACAAATTCAGTTGAACTATTTCTCAATATAGATCATTCACTTGATTCACAAAGATTACTGCCTGCAAAAATATTATTCTACAGAAATGCACTGGTTGACACTATTTTTTGTTGAGAAGCATTAACTTTTGTTGTTTCTATTATAAAAAAATCTATACATACTCACACATGTAAGCATATAAATTACACATGCACACATAACTATTAAATTTTTAACTTTAATAATTGCAATAAAAAAACTACTGAAAGCATTTGAATCTAAGGATAAATATTTTAGCATTTAACCCTGGCCTTCATATATACACATTAACAATTGTTAAATTGAACTGACAAAGTTTATCTGGTTAACTACTTTTTTGGCATTTTTCTAATTTTCAAACAAGTTGCTGTTCATCTAAATAAAAATTGTGGATAAACTGTCCAATGTTCATGATTTTTTTTTCTGTTTTTGTTCAAGCACTTTTGATGGAGTTTTTATCAAGAATTAAATGATGTTAGTATGGTAGACAAAATTTCCTGACTACATCATGGCTTTTTGTGGAACACTAAATTTCAAATTTACTGTCTGTGATGTCATGTGTAAATCAGTTTCACAGAGCTTGATAGTACTAGAAAATGAATTTATGAAGTATTTTATATGCATATTAAGTATTTTATACACACTATAAATGCCTCCTGTTTATTTAATGTTTGTTTCTTCTGTTTAATAATAGCTTTAAGTAATTTGGAGCTTTTCTTGCAAAGAAACAGAGAAAAGCAGAAGGAAATGTAGAAAAAGAGCAAAAGAAGAAAGAGTAAGATAGGAAGGATTTGATGATGAAAGAGGAGGAAGTTAAAAGGAAGGACTAATATCTATCTTATGTTAATAGTTTTATTTTAGGTGTTTTATGTAATGATCAATATGTGCATGAATTTAGTTAACCTATGTAGTGTAGTGCTTGTGCAACCAATATAAGAATTTAATGCTGTTTTCTGATTATTGATATTGGATATGCAATGTCTCAAAAGACATGAAAATTCAAAAACATTTTTTTCTTCTTTTTACACAATGGAATTTCAAAAGTTCCAAGTTAACATTTTATATTCAATGTTAATTCGTTATTGGAATCATACTGATATGTACTGGCAAATTATATTTTTAACAACTTAGGAGGCATCAAATTATGGTAGAATAAGTTAATGATGCTTTTATTTTTGCTTATATCAGAATTGCTGTTTATATTATTTTTCTGAAATTTTGTAAGGATAACTTCATTTGTCATATAACATGTATGACATTGAATATATATCATAGGCTTGACAAAATTATTATTTTTATTTTTTTATTTTTAACAGGAGCCATGTAGAAATTAGATAAAATAGGACTGAGAGGTAAGCTACACCATCAGTCTGTGTGTGAATGTTACTGTAATGATCATAAATAGGTACTTGCATCATGTAAGATGGAAGAGGTTTATGGAGAATTACTGGTCTGATATTAGGTGGGAACAAAGAATACTTATATATGTTTATTATATCTATAGTTTCTTTTATAATCTCATACTGAGGAATATGGTTGTATATTTCATGGCACTAGGTCATACTTCTTGGTTGGGCTGTGAAGTTTTACAGTAACCACTTCTTTGCATATGTGTTTATTATAGTAAATAAGTATTAAATGAATAAGAATTTCCAAAGAAATACATCAATGAAAGAAATTAACTTACATTTAGAATAATGCACATCAGAAAATCCAAAACTGGGACTGTCCATGTCACTGTTTCGTTTCATTAACATTCTGCCTTCTGGAGAATCTAAGTCTGGATCTGGGGGTAATCCACTACTGCTGCTGCTGGTGCTGCGAGTACTGCTGAGAGTGCCCTCACTACCTCGAGAGAGTAATGTCTGTACAGAGCCAGCGGACAATTCAGTTCGACGGTTGTTTGAACGAGGAAAAGTTCGATGGCCTAACAAGAAAAAGAAATCAAACTGACTATATAACAATACTGACAATATAAACGAAATGACTGTTCTTAAAGCAATGTTAAATGTGTTGGCTACACAGGTATTATGTACATAAGACACATTATTTTGCATATAGAAAATGAATTTAGTAAATATACAAAAATAGAAAAGGTTATAAGGCAAGGATATCATATATTCTCACTGAACTTATTCAACCTATACTGTGCGGCAATTCCAAGAGAATTCAGGTTTCTTTATTGGTGGCTACAATCTTAGTAACATAAGATATGCAAAAGACAGTGCGCTGATAACAAACAGAGAAAGGAAACTATAAGAACTCCTACAGAGGTTAGTGAAGGAAAGTGAGAAGAAAGGACTAAATATGAATTGCAAGATGATAGAATGCATTGTTGTCAGAAAAAGAAACAGGCCAACATGCCAATTACAAATTGAAGATACCAAAATCAAACAAGTACAACAATTTAAATACTTGGAAAGTGTTTTAACAGAAGACAGAAAGTGCAAAACTGAAATCTGAAGGCACATTGGTATAGTGAAATTTGCCTTCCAAAAGCTAAGCAAAGTATTAAGAAACAGGAAAATTTTGTTAGTAACAAAGATGACTGAACTGCTGGACAATTTCCTCACAGATGAAGAGACTTGAAATGTGGGATACTGAGTATACCATGGACTGAACATGTGAACAATGACACAGTTTTAGAGAAAATGGAAACAAAAAGGACACTTATACTTAACATCAGAAATATAGTTGAAATTTCTAGGGTACATAATGAGAAAAGAGGGAAAATTTGATACTCACAGGACAGTGAAGGCAAGATGTGACAGAGGAAAACACTGCAAAACCTACCAAGTGAGCTTGTGCAAATGAATAACAGAACAGGTTTAGAAGAGATAGCAAAAAGAGTTACAAAAGATAGGAAGTTGTGGAGAGCCATGATCAATGTTCTGAAAGAACATAACACACTGAAGAACAAGAATCCCCCAAAATGGTTTTGACTTTTCCACAGAACAGGAATATAATTTCCATTTTAAGTCAATTGTAATCATGTGGGATGTATGCATGGGACTGACGTGTTCAAATTCCAGTTGAGGCAGTTGCCCTCACTTTCACACAAATACCCGTAGAAAGGTATGAATAGATCTCTTCTCCTTCCAGCTAGGGTTTTCTAGCAAGGCAGACTTAGCTATCTAGTTTTGGTTGGCAACCAGTCTATAAGAAAGACAACTTTGACTTCAAAATTACTTGCTAAAGAAATGCAGCAGCAACATCTGGTGTGGTGAGGCTGTGGCTGTATACTCCACAGGGGAGTTTCTTCTTCTGTATCCTATGTTCCTTCAGAACATTGGTGATCATGGCTCTCCAAAATTTCATGTCTCCTATGGTCCTTAGCAGTTTTTCTCCCTTTGCTAAGACACCTACCCTCCCTTCCTCCATCCATCATACAAACTCATCAGGTGGGTGGCCCATTGTCTTCCCCTATCTCTCTTGCCCTCAATATGCCCTGTGAATGTTAGGTTTTTCTAAATTTTTCTTCCTCATTATGTGCCCAAAGAATTTCATCTATCTCTTCCTGATTCTGAGTATGTGTTCTTTTTGTTACCATTTTCTTTAAGACTTCCTGATTGCTGACTTGCTCTGATCATAGAATTTTCAGTATCCTTCTGTAGAACCACATTTCTGTTGCCTCAGATTTTCTCTTCATCTGTGGAGAGATTTTCCAGCATTCACTAACACAGAAGAAGATTGATATTACATAACAATGCAGCACAATTCTTTGTTTCTAATGAATTTTTTCTGTTTCTCAGCATTTTGCTTAGTCTTTGGAAAGCATCTTCTGCACGTCCAATGTATGTTCAGAGCTTGTTGCATTTTCCATCTTCTGTTAAAACATTTCCCAGATATTTAAACTTCTGCACCTGCTTTATTTGGACATTTCCAATTTGTAACTTGCATCTTAGGCTTTTTTTTCTTGCTGATGACCATACCTTCTCTTCTTGCAGTTGATGGTTATTCCTTTTCTCTCACTTTCTTCTACTACCCTGTTTTGGTGCCCCTGTAGTTTTCTATCCAAGTCAGCAATCAACACAGTGCCATAGCATATCTTATATTGTTAAGATTATGCCCACCAATAATAAATACTGGTAGTGGTCTCCAGCCCCCTTAGAATAGCCTTGCGCTACAGTTGTGGTTCCCAATGTGGGGTGCATGCCCAACAGGGAGGCAATTCAAGAATGAATAATTAACGGTCAATTTTTTTTCATATGGTGCAGCTGAGAAACAGAAAAAATTCATTAGAAACAAAGAATTGTGCTGCATTGTTATGTAATATCAATCTTCTTCTGTGTTAGTGAATGCTGGAAAATCTCTCCACAGATGAAGAGAAAATCTGAGGCAACAGAAATGTGGTTCTACAGAAGGATACTGAAAATTCTATGATCAGAGCAAGTCAGCAATCAGGAAGTCTTAAAGAAAATGGTAACAAAAAAAACACATACTGCACATTATGCATACATAAAAATATTTGTGTTTATGTATGTACATGTGTAATTACTTATACACTGTCTATAATATATATATATATATATATATATATATATATATATATATATATATACACATACACAAAGGTGCGATGGGTAAATAGTCATGTTATTTTTTTTAATTCTGCGCATGTGTTGTTTGTTTTTGGTTTTGTCAACCGCACAGTATAGTAGAGTCAGTTGGGCACCATCTGTGAAAAAAAGAGAACTATGACCCAATTCACTCTGCTAGAAATTTGGAAATGGAATGCTGTACTGCTTGGCATTTGTGCTGGAAGCTCCAATACGAACATTTCAGAGTGTTTGGGTGTCACAATCTGAGATCAGTTCAGAGGATTCAGAAAGAGATGGATCTAATGGCAATTATGAAAGTATAGCAGCTTGGAAAACTCACTCTGATTGTTCTGATAAGTAAAGATTCTTAAATTTGTTGTGAGGGCCTCAAACTCAACACAGAGGCCTATATTGTGTCTTGAGGAGGTAGTACTGCCTGGCTCAAGAGGGTGGCTGCTGGAGGACTATGTCACGCAAAAGGACTTTGCACCATGCCACACAAGCAGGAGAACCCATTCATGGCTGTTAGACAATTTCTGAAACCATATCACCCCTTACATCTGGCCACCTAACTTCCCAGACTGCAATCCCCTTGATTATTATGCATGGGGCACAGTTGAGATCAACAAAACTCCTTGTAACACCAACAAGAGAACAACAAAACTCGTAAGACAAAAGATGAACAGAAGACAAAGATTATGGTAGCATTTACCAACTTAAACAGGGAGATCGTTTAGAAGAGTTGCAGGAGATTCCAAACTGAAGCCAATGTGATTTTATTGAATAAATTTACCCTTAATATTTAAAGATATTTTTGCATAATTTTGGTAAATATATTTGTTAAAATGAGAAGTTGGTATTATTTTTATCTTTCTGAGTGATTTAGACGACAATTTATTCATCGCACCCTCTCTCTCTCTCTCTGTGTGTGTGTGAGAGATATATATCAGTGTATAACACAATATTTTTATAAATATTGTAAAATTCTAAAATTAAATGATAATTCTATTGCATGTATGCAGTTTCAAGTTCTTAAAAGTTAATGAGCTTTTTTGTTGCCTCCATGTGAATACGACTTCACTTTTTGAATAAAAATATTATATATCACAGTGATGGGGTTGCATCAGGAGTTTAGAGATGCTTAGGTGGGGCATGGAAAAAAAGAGATTGGGAACCATTGCTCTAGATGTTGAATAAATCTGGGGAGAAGACATACCCTTCACATACGAGAAAAAAAAAAAATGAAAACATTATGGTCAGAGTGAATGACATACTGATTGTTTGGTTAAATCCCAGCAAATTTAACTGAATATAGTACAGCAAAATATATTACTTAAATTAACAACTTATTCAATATTGTCTATTTAAATAAATGGGATTTGATTTATCAATTAAAACCATCAAATAATAATGATACCAGCATCATTAATATTAATAAGGTTAATATTCACCATGTTTAATTCTTTTACACTGATTTTGTTCATCAGTAAAGTTATAAAAAAAATTGACTTTTTTATTACTTGACTAATTAACCTGACCTCACAATGAGATGTCAAATATAAATATTAAAGAACGAAATGCATATTAATATTTAATTCAGTTTCTGCACAGATAATTACAATAAGTTAAATAAATCTTTGATTCTGAACAATAAATATCCAGTTTTATTGTCAACAATTGATAAATGCTATTTAAATTGTAAATTTAAATAGAATTATCTTTATGCAGAAACCCACATATTTTTATTTTATTTATTTATTCTTGTTGTCATTGTGGAATGCACAATGAAATTGGACAGCAGTTCCCAGGTGCACCAACACACAAATAAAACCTCCAAAATATACAGCATTGAATGAAGTAATATAGTTAAAATACATTGAAAATTGTCAGCATGCCACAGTGTTCATTTTATGCAAGACCCAAGGATAAAAGCTATCTCTCAAGCACTTTGTCCTGAAAAATATATATATATATATATATATAAGTAGATAAATGCATATACAGATATATATATGCTCTCACACACATACATACATATATATATACTTTCATATAATAAAAGTAAAAACTGAGAGTAACTGTTCAAACAAATGGTACCTGCGATGCATGCTTTCTGCTCTGCTGCAACAATGAGAATTAGAAATGCACTCCAAGGAAGGCAGTGTGCAGCTGATTATTTTATGGGTAACATCTAATCCTTTGGAAGATCTTCTTGCCTGCTGCTGAGCAGTTGGCATACCTAACAGTGATACAGTATGCCAGTACACTTTCAACAGAATAGCAGTAGAAGATCATCAGCAGTTCCTTTTTTAAATTATTTTTTCTGAGAATCCTCAGTAAATAAGAATTGCTACTGCATCTTCTTGACTAATGCAATATTATTGCTAGTCCAGGAGAGATCCTCTGCAGAGTATGTGGCCAGAAATTTAATTTATAGATTTAAATTCATAACTTAATAAGCAGAGACAAATTTAAAAAAAAAAAATTTACCAAGAAATAGCTTAAAGATTGTAAGAAATACTTGGAAGAAAGAGAATTATAGAAGGATTTTGTAGAGGTCTGCAAAAGATTCTTCTGTCATTCAGTATTAAACTTTTTCTATTAAATGAGGAAAGGAATTAAGAATGATGGTTATTATTTTGAAATTTATATTGATAACAAAAAGCTATCCCTTTCTGTCTGGATATCTGGAATGAGGAGTTTTCATTATTTCCATTATTTATATTCAGACTATTGTCTCATCTTAGTTGTTGTGATCATGTATTGCTCATTGTGCCCTTTGGACTTCCTCAGATGCATATTGATCTACAGTGAATTCTGAACTGAACTTTTTATTTAATCTCTGAGGGTAGACTGTTCTTGTTCCACTGCTCATGTCTAGGGATATCTCATCTAGTTCTAATTTTTTAATAATGCTCAATTACTGCTCACTCCATTTCCACAGATTCTAAGTACACACTGCCTGACCCAGGGATTGAATTCACAATCACAATGTCACCAAATTCATGAACCAACACTTTAATCCACTAGACCTGTAGTATCCTTTATATATATATATATATATATATATATATATATATGATGAATCAAAATCATTTCTGTTTTCACCTGCTGCTCTGATTGCAAAATTGAAGCTTCATGACTTGCATTCAAATGCATATTTATTTACCATAATTGCTAATAGGTGAATATTTCTTTTCCAAGGGAAAAAATAGCATTTAAGTTCAAATTAAAAAGAGGTCAGATAAGGAGAAGAGAATTTCTCACTACATCTGCTATTTTCTTCAGACTCCTTTCTCTCCTTAAAAAAAAAAAAAAAAAAAAAAAACACAACTGAAAGTTTTAATTAATATTTATGTATACTTTCATATAAAAATTTACTAGAGTAACTTTTACAGTATCTATTTATTCTCTCATATTGAGTTGGTATTATGAGAATAGAAGACCAGTGTCTGAGGTATATCTATCTTGGGAGTTGGTGTGAGATTTGAGCTGTATTCCAAATATACCCTCATAAAACGTGCATCGTATAGGCTGATAAATATAGTCATTTGCACTATAATAAAAATGAAGATTGTTTTAGTGCATTTTATTAATATCCCTCTAAAAGTGGATAACCTCAAGAAAAAGAAAAAGGAACAAAAACAACAGAAAAGGTTTTTCTTTATACCAATTCTGCTTTTGCTATTTTTTTTTTTTTTTAAAGTTGTCAATTTTGGGTTCTTAGTAAAAGTAAAGGATTTGTACAAATTTAAAATGATGCCTTCAGTTTCTGAATTTGTAAAAGCATCTGGCCCCATCCATAGCAGAATGAAGTAATTCAAAGCAGCATCAAGTTACACAGCTGCATTTGCTGAGGGTGATGTTTTGGAAGATGTAAATAATTTTAAGAAGGGGCAAGATCAGTTTCATGTACAAAATTTCCTTTTCGGCAAAAGCTAAAAAAAAAAACAAAAAAAAAAACATCATCATCATTCTTTGGGACGACTGCTGAAGAGTAATGGTTAACAAGCTAGTGATGTTAGCTATTCTCTAGTGTAGTAAATTCAATCCTAGTGCGGATCTTCCCTACTGAGGTCTTGTGCAAGATTAAACTAAAATTAGTAACTTGACTGTTTTACCATGTTTTACATTATTCACATGTAAACTATTGTTCTCATCTTTGTAGCTGTTATCGCAATGTTTTTGCCATTGTATCCTCTGGCTTTCATCAGGTGCTTGTTGATCTGGCTAATCTGCAGGGAATTTAGGACTGAACCCTTTATTTAACTGATTGGGGTAGAATGTTTTTATTTAACTGATTGGGGTAGAATGTTTTATGTAACCAATCAATCTTTGGGTCAGGAAATATATATTTATATATTCCTGATTATTGTTATTACATGAAACTATGAGTAGCAGATTTTGATATTGTATTAATAATATTATTATAATATATTTAGGCTCTGTTGACTTTGGCATTCAGTCCTCGGTTTATTCTATAGTTTAAGCTTTAGCTTTCACTCTTACTCCATGTGTGTGTGTGTGTGTGTGTGTATATATATATATATATATATATATATATGTGTGTGTGTGTGTGTGTGTGTGTGTGTGTAATGATTGGTTGGTTGATTTTGTTTAGCAGTATATCAACCTGTGGGTTACTTAATTCTGAAATCTAAATATTTTGAACACAATTATATACTGCCAACCACAGTTAAGATGTATTGTTGGTAATTTTGCTATAAAATTTATTGTTTTTTTTTTTTTTTTTTTTTTTATATATATAAAAAGGCATTGCTGGCATTTTTTTCTGTAAAAATGTATTTTCATAGTTTTTTTTTTTTTTTTAGGGGGATCACTATTTGTCCATAGCTGGAATCCTAACAGGATGCTACAGGGTGGACCTGGGAACAACAGCAATTAAGAAGTGGTTCCACACTCCTCAAAACCTTCAATCTCCCAATCAGAGGCCTTGCTGCCAGATGTAGTTTATCATCATACTCAGGACTGCCACATTTATGAGTGATATTAAAGAACAGTGAGATTTAATAAGAGAAGTGAAGTTGTAAAATTGAAAAATATTTAAAAAAAGAAGTAGCTTTGTTGAAATAAAAAAGAAAAGTTGAATTCAAAACAACTTACGTTCAATATCAGCCATATGTGTTCCTGTTTCATAACCACGTGGAAATGTTCCAAAACTTCTGCCTTTATTTCCTGAAGTCAAGAATTAATTTAAAAATAAAATCTATATTAAAAATAGTTTTCATAAACTTATAACAGAGAAATACAGCTCCTCATTTGATAACTGAGAAAATTGATTTATTTCTGTAAATGTTGCTGTGTCAAAATTATGTTAAGAGGCTATAAAGTAGAAGGAAATATATAGTTTGAGAGAAAATGCAGTTCATATAAAAAGGTTTGATTTATTTGATTTTTATAGCTTATCAATCTTTTCATATAAAAAGGATTTGGTTATAAAAGATGTTAATCATTAATTATACTAGAGTATTATTTAAAAAAAAAATCTATGAAATAATTTAAAAATTGAAATTATAATAATCTATGTGCATATTAGTAGTAGATGTGTGGGTGGTGAAATAGTTAGCAACTCAAAATAAAAAATTGGCAAGCCAAATTTGAATCCCACTTAAGTTCGTTACAATTGCTTTCATATTAATGCCCTTGGAAAAGGTATGAATTCATCTCTTCTGGGTTCTTCAGCCTTGGTTGGCAATCAGTTTAGGAAAAGAACTCTGAATTCAAAACTGGATGGCCTCATCCCATAAAAAAAAAAAAACTCACTATGGAAACTGTAGCATCAACACTTTGTATGTTGAGGCTGTGGTCCCTTATTTCATAGTTGGGGTATATAGGACTTGAGAGAGAGTGAGAGAGAAAGGTATATTAATAGGGTTTATTTATGTTTAACTAACATATGCTTTTTATTAGTTCTAGAAAACATCCTACAATAAATAAGTGAATGAAGGAGAATGAATTGAAAATCAAAAATATACCAGGCAGCATTTCCTCCTTTGTCGTATCTGAGAGAATGCTCCTCCGAGAGTCTCGTCTTGTAGGATTCCTAAAACCATACGATTCTCCACTGAAAAATGTAAAATGATGGGAACAGGGAAAAAAATGGAATTAAATTCAAAGGTAAATCAATTGTACTCAAGAGGTCAAGTATTAAGATAAATATTGAAAAGAATTAAAAAGAAAAATATAGAATTGGTCAAATCAACAACACAGGACAGGATTAGTAACAGACAAAAATAAAAGGATTATTTACATATAGGTTGGCATTATTACCTAGAATCTGAACATTTGAGCACTATGCTTAGGATCAAAGTGATTGCTTCAAGGATTTTCTGTCTAATCTTAGAGCAATATTTACTAGTGAAAGTTTTACATAAACTATATATATATATATATATATATATATACACACACACCAAGCACTTAACAATAACGCAGACACTCAAGCTGTGGTCTAGATATCACTAAATTGTTTGATAGGGTTTGGCATGCTAATCTCCTTTGTAAGCTTCAGGGATATGGAATTACAGGACGATTAATTGATTTAATACAATCATTCCTGTCAAAGCGTGAAATGAAAGTTGTCCTAAACAAGTTCTCCTCCAGTTCCTTTCATATGAACACTGGTGTTCCTCAGGGCTCTATCCTGAGTCCTACATTGTTTCTGATCTTCATCAATGATATTCCTGATGCCATCAGTTCCCAAGTACATCTACGCAGACAACACTATTATTTACTCCTGCCTTAATAGTAAATCCGGCATTGTTGACAAAACTAACCTGGCATTGGTCTCGGAAAGGACCTCCAATCAGTGGTTGACTGGGGCAAGAAATGGCTTGTAAACTTTAATGCCACCAAAACTGCTCTCATTAATCCACCATAGAGAACCCTCCCAGAATGACTGATGCGCAACTCCACAATAGCGCCACTCTGCGCCTGCTTGGGCTCACACTTTCCACTGACCTGAGGTGGAATAACTACATTGAATCAATAGCTTCATCTACTGCAAGGAAAGTTGGTACTCTGTGTCACGTCAGAAGGTATTTCTCGCCTGAGTCCATCATTCAAATCTAGAAATCAGCCATTCATCCTTGCATTGAATACTGCTGCCATAAATGTCTGGTGTTCCCGCTGTTCACGTTAAGATCCTCAACAAAATCCAGAGATGGATATGCAATGTGACAGGTCCTGATCTGGCATCTCATCTTCAGATGTTCTGTGGCTTCACTCTGTCTTTTCTACAAGTATTTTCATGGCAACTGCTCTGACAAGCTACATTCACTGGTTCCCAAACTGCATGAATTTAAGCATGCTACTAGGTTGGCATCTTGGTCCCACCCTTTCATTGTCGAAATGGTTAAATATAACCGTCTCTTCTACTCTTATCTCACACTTGCCAACAGTGGAATTCCCTTTCTTTTATTTGCTTCCCTGATAGTTATAACCTTCAAATATTCAAATGTAATGTCAATCAACATCTGATACCTCGATCTTGGTCTCTGTCCCTCTCTTTATCCTTTCCCCAAATACCTCTCTTTACTCTTGCTTTCACTCTCTGTAACCCCTTTCGTGCTAGTGGCACTCCTACCTTGTTTGGGGTGATATGCTTATAATATATATATATATATATATATATATATATATATATATATATATGAGTGTGTGTGTGTGTGTATTAAAATGGATTTTTATTCATCCGACAGATTTGTGTCATTTTAATGTTATTATTAGTGGATACTTGTATTTGAATAGGTGCTCTGTTTATATATTAAACAGTATATTTTTTTATATTCCCTTTGTTATCCTGAGCTATGCAGATTCAATTTTAGCTGAAGGGCACAAATTTTTCTTTAATAAGACTTCCCCAAATTTCAGGTTGGGTACCTCCTGAAACTGGACACACGTAATACCAGAAAATGTTAAAATTGGAAATTTAACAATTTTAAATTTAGCATTCCTACTTCTTCAGTGCTCCACCTCAGTGAATAATTATAACTAACATTTATATTTATATCTCCTCCTGCCTTCCTATATATAATTCCATGAATAAGAACATTATTTTAGAGGATGAAATGTGTTATACAGAATTTTTCCACTTTATCATTCAATTATATAGGAAAAAAAAAGTGTAAAGAAAGAAAATGAAAAGAAAGAAGGAAAGAAAGAAAGAAAAAAGGAAAGTGTGAAAGTAAATGTGAAAGAGGAAACTGTGAAGGTCAAAAGATAGAGTGTAAGTAAGAAAGCTAGAGAGAAACAAAAAGAAAAACAGATGAAATGCAAGGTGGAGAGAATAGAGAGAGAGAGAGAGATGAAAGACAAAGCTAGACAGGCTTACTGTCTTTATGTTTTATTACTCCTTTGATCTTTTACAGTGGGTGAAACGTTAATAGACTTTCCTTTTGGAGCATGACACACACCTTATATAGGAAAGTAGGTAAAACCTGCAGTATTAATATATATATTGTTAAAGAAATTACATAGCATTTTAACACTGATATATTTGTCATGTAGTATCAAGTATCATGCTATTTGTTTTATTCTGACAAAATTGTTTATTTGTTACTTTGTAGAAATCTGCTGACTCAGAGATATATTCTTGTCACATCTGCATAAATCTGTGACTTTTGGACCCAGTGAGGCTGTGACTTTTGGACCCAGTGAGGGATGAACTCATTAATTAATTATTGTTAAATGGACAGCGTTTGATGAGCTATTTTAATGGGCACTAAGAAAATAAAATGGTTGTAAGTCATTTTTGTATTTGCATCTCAAAGAAATGGGGCTTATGGTTTACTATATTTTTTAATATATTCAGTGTAGATGATGAGACAAAATTTAATCAAAGACCTGTTTTGCCAGACTAAAAAGAAAAACAAAACTATGCATTAGAAGAGTGTCTTGGGATCTCTGATGATAAGTTGGTTGTTGTAAATCACATTAATTACTCTAGTTTATCATGTTCTGGCTTGACACTTGAAGAAGGTCTGTATGTCTCTGTGCTTGTTTGTTTTATCTATATCTGTATATGACAACCAACTTATCCTCAGAGGTCCTAAGACCACTCTCCTAACACATAGTTTTGTCTTTCTTCTTTTAGTTGAACTGATGACACCAAAGAGAACATAAGTTTTTCTCTGGTGAAATGTGTCTTTATACACACAATAAATACAGAATTATGGACAGAATGTATTCTTTTGTATGCTGTACAAAATGTAGGTGATCATAGCTCTCCACAACTTTTTATCCTTTGCAGCTTTAATATTTTTTTTCATTAGTCTCCTTCTCAGACCCTTTTCTGCAAATTTATTTACACAAGTTACTTTCTGTTTTCCTTTACTTTGAAATTCATAATTATTACTTTGTCGAAGGAAGCAATCCTTTAACTTAGACTGGTTGCATATATTCTCTATTTTGCAAATAAAATGGCATTTTGATTATTTTTTTTAAATAATTGCTAAATCACCAGAGAATTAAAAAAATATTTAAATAAAAATAATAAAAAAAAGCTAATATTTTTCTGTTAGTTTTGTTACTTACTGACAACTTATGTAGCTACTATCCAATGATGAGGTACTGCCAGCAATTGAACCATCAGGACTACATGCAAGCTTCAGAGGAATATAACCAATTGACTGCATAAAGAAAATTGGATAAATTAGGGAAAAAAATGATAAAATATAAAACAGAATTAATTTTGGTCTGTTGAAAATAGAACAGAGAAAAATATTGATGTAAATCACTTGGATTTGAGAAAAATATGAATTCAGAACTGATTAATGTTGTTATAGTGTTTTAATATGAATTCAGAACTGATGTACATGACTGTAAGAAGGTTTATGATATGTCTGGACATGGACAATAGAACAAGAAGAATATATCTCCTTTTGTAGAATACCCCTGTAGATTAAATAAAGAGTTTAATTCAAAATTCATTGAAAGTTGGTTGGATCAACAGACACCTGAAAAAAATCATATGGCATAAAGACTGGAATGTTGTAATCATAACAATAAAGATGAAGACATTATTCTGAATGTAAATAATGATAACTTTTTGTACCAGACATTCAGACAGAAATTGCCAAATTAAATATATTTTATAAAAGAATAAATTTTCACTGACATTTATCTACACATTATTAGCTAATAGCTAGTTTCACTTTTCTTGTTTTAAACTTATTTCATTCACTAATTACACTGGCCTTGTAACAGAAATTTTTGTATATTCATTTTCTATTTTGATACAAAACAAATTGAAGAGAGTCTCTTAGGATCTCTGAGGATAGGTTGGTTGTCACACTTGTATTATTTTGAACTATTGTTCACATGTTGGTTGATATAGATGTTATTATAGACACAACATTTTGACCAAGTACTGCCTGGTCATCAACATTTGTTTGACCAATATTGGATATATTTTGGCTATTGTATTATTTTTTAGTCCTTGTGATGTCAGTTATTGTTTGTTTCTGTTGAACCAGTGCTTCACTACCTGATCCAGGGATTGAACTCACAATCACTGGATAACAAGAACACATGTATAATCAACACCTATATCCATTGCACTTGTCTCCTGAAGTGGTTTGCTTTGAGAGTTTGTTTTTTATATTCAATGTCAGATGGGTTTTGACATTTTGTTACAATACTGGATTTGTACTGCTTTTCATAATTTAGTATTTCATTTCTAAGATGAGTAATTGTCAATAAATATACTTGCATTATTTCAAATTATTGTTCTCATCTTGGTTGACATATATGTTATTATTGATATAACATTTCAACCAAGTACTATCTGGTCATCATCAGGTGTAAATTGTTTGGCTGATATAGGATATGTGTTGATTATTATTATGAGAGTAATACTTTCAAATAATACAAGTATACTGACAGTTACTCATCTCAGAAATGAAATACTAAAATAAATGAGTGGTTGGTTTTATACAGAACATAGCATATCCAGAATGTATACTTTTAATAAAAACAACAAAACTAAAAAGAGAGAGTGTGTTTATATATAAATTTAAAATTTCTTATACAATTATTGCTTCAACAAAACCTTTATCTGATGGTAACCTTCAGATGTCATAGGTGATTTAGAACTTACTAAAAATGTAGGGCTTTCTTCATGAAATCATTTTACTTTGATGGTGCTTTGTTAATATATAAGAATGCTAGACATACACATATATGCTACCTCTGCTCAATCTTAGAGACTCCTAATATATTATCTTAATTTTATATCACATATAAATTCCTGAAAGTCCAGATATTTTAAGAAAAAAAAAAAAAAACAACAGTTTTCATAATTATGATGATGACACCAATTTAATAATATTTAAAATTTGTAAGCATAAATGAAGGAATTTAAAACTGAGATAAAAATATTTAAAATAATTTTAATCCTTATAATATTTTCTTTTTTTGCCTTAGTTGGAAAGTTCAAAACAACATTCTTTGGACTTGGTTTCCAGTTTTCAATATGATACAAGCTAAGCAAATTCTTAAAGGAAATTCTTGACGTCACTGAGTTTATTATTTAATGAACCATTGCAGCAGCTTCTTGTCATAAAGAACCTTTTCTGCGTTCCATAAGCATGACTTATGCTAATTTGAAAGTAACTCATTGTGCCTTCTTGGGCTAATATTTTTTTCTGGCATGAAGTAAAAAGATTATATTGAATCAATTGCTAGGTCTACTGCTAGGAAAGTTGGTTGACTGTGTTGTCCTAGACAATTTTTCTCACCCAAATCAATTTTACATATTTATAAGTCTATCATACATCCATGCTTTGAATATTGCTGCCATATATGGTCTGGTGCTCCTGCTATATATTTAGAGATTCTTGATAAAATCCAAAGAAGAATCTGCAATGTCATTGGTCCTGTCTTAGTATCTCAGTCACTTTCCCACTGCTTTAACATAGCTTTCCTGTGCCTTTTCTAAAAAATTTTATGGCAATTGTTGTGATGAGCTTTTCACTGAATTTAAGTGCAGTACTAGATTGGCGGCAAAATCTCATGAATTTAGAGTTGAATTGGCTAAATGTAACCATAAGTTATATCCTAACACTTTCTTGCTTGTGGAACTCTCTTCCAGCTTTTTGCTTACCAACTTCAAACTTCATGTAATGTCAACCGTTATCTCCTGCATTCTTAATTCCTGTTCTGTTATTGTTCTCACTCCTTAATAATTAATGTTTTTCTTTTCTTATATTCTTTCACACTCATTAATTCCCTGTATCTTCTGACCTTATTGCTCTGCTTGGGGTGAAATGATTAAAAAATAATCACAATGTTTTCAACTGTGTTTTCCACCCCCCACTAAGTGTATTTAAATGAATCTTTAACACTTGTCACTGTGAAGAGGTGAATGAATATATACACACACACACCTGAGGATGTCTGCAGGAACAGACGAAAGCTTGAAAAAATAATAAGACCTTATGCAACTGAAATTTATAAAACAAGGATCTTTTCATTCATAAACAGGTTCGGGGGTTTTTGTATATTATTTGAATTGTTTGCGAAGATGGATTTCTCGCCAATTAAATCATTAACCTTTGTATTTGTTTTTTGTATGAATAATTCATTAATTTTATATATATATATATATATATATATATATATATATATATGCACTTACGAGGTACGCAACTGTGGAAAGTAAAGTTCCCATTAGCTGAAATGTAGTTATCAAAACAACAAAAATGAAGATACTTGTTCAAATGATATATTGAACAATGACGATACTCTATCTCAAAACTTTAGTCTATGAGACTCAACTATTTAAATTATGATAGTCAAATAGGCAACCAATTGAAGTGTACTTATTGAGACAAAGATATTAGTTTAAGAATGCATTAGTCAATAACAATGCATCAACGCAGAATTCATTCAGATAGCAATTGCTGCGGTTTTTGTTTAATAATCAAATGAATGTCCCTTTCATTTCAGAATTCAACTCAATGGATTTGATATTTTTAAGCTTTTGTAGTAATACTATGACCAACACTAGAGTTTTATTTATTATGGTGTAAGAAAAGTCTTTCGTTTTTACTCCTGAGCATATTTCATGTAGACATTTAAAGACTACAGTCAGACTATCTGCACATATCATTTGATTATAGTGATGAAGGCATTTGCAGAACCAACCACACTTTTTGGAATAGCCGAATGCAGAGAAATGTTGCACATTAAGCCATAAGGTCCCCAAACAACCTGCTGCAGGTTTTGAATACAAAGTTGTCCATCTACTAGACTATTTACCACCCATGGCTATAGGATCCAATATGTCCTGCTATTTACCCATAGCTGGGGGGAAGGGAGAGAGAGAGAGAAGAAATGGATTCATAGCTTTCCTAAGCCTGTTAGCATATGAATTAATGTAATGCACTTGACTGGAATTCAAACTCAGTTCTCTCATTCTCAAGTCCGAAGTTGCTATCAGTTTACTATATATATATATATATATATATATATATATATATATATATATATATATATATATATATTATATCCATTCATTCATTCCACTAGTTTAGTTTCAATGTCATTATTGTTAACTTTTCTTGTTGGCTGCCAAGAAGAAAAGTTAGCATTAATGACATTCATAGATCAAAAAAACCTTTTTGAATCAAAGGACTGAGAGATTATGAGCTGTTGCATTCATACAAAAAATTCCTCTTAATTTCATATGAGGCTGGATAAAAATATGTACATTTCTTTCCTTCTTCTCCTTTGTATCCTCCTCCTCCCTTCTTAGCATACCCAACATTGTGCGTTTATTATTTTAAAAAAAATAAAAAATAAACAGTGTTTATTAAAAATTTTAAAAAATAAAGCATTGGGAAATCAATTGATACAAATCATCTGACGATACTGAAAGGTTGAAACCAACATAGGGGAATCGACTGATCTCCTAATTTTTTAAATTTAAAAGCTCTGCATGTTAAATTTTTATTTTTCACATGTGTATTGAGCACTTTTTAATAGTGCTGTTTACTTGTCTAATCCAACTTTGACTTTGACCATCTTTTCACTAATATATATATATATATATATATATATATATATATATACACACACACACACTTTTTTAACTGTAACTTTTATTGCAGAGTTTATAATGGCAGATAAAAATATAGAAATGTAGAAATTTGGGAAGTGGAAGGAAATGAGACAATATATGACCCTTCTGCTTAAATCTAATTTGAAAGTTTTAATTTTTTGCTCCTTGAAATAAAGCCCAGAATTAGACAACCACTAGTTGTTGGTAGGAAGCTTTAAAAATACAATGTAGTGTATCTAACCAGCAGCAAATGAAAACTTTCAGAAGGTCATTGAAAGATACCATATGCAGAGCATTATATAAGGTTAAAAAAATAAAGAGTTGATTACAAAAGCAAATATACATTTTTGCTCTAATATATAAAAACATAAAGACAAATGAATTACCTCATCTTGATGTAATGGCTCAGGAATGAACTTTCCTTCTCCTGTTATAGTGTAAGAGGTGCTAGGCCTGAGGTGTTTCTCATGTGGAGGCAATGAACCTGGAGGTGGACTGGGGGAATTTCGCTATATTTGGAAAATAAAGACAAAAAGAATTTTTTAAAGAAATTATACAAGACATCCATTAAGTAGTTAAAAAATTAATTATTGATGCACAGATGAGGAGGTGAGAGCTTTCCAAATGTTTTCAATTAGTGACAGACTTTTTGAAAATAAAATTTTTTGTAACACATTAAGCTTTGTTCACCAAGTCAAATATATAATTCAAAATTTGTATAAAAAAAATTAGATAAAAAATCAAGTTAATAATTAATTACACTAAAGTGTTGCAACACAAATTTGGAAAGCTCTTGGCAACATATTTAAAACACAAACAATAAATCAAATGAAAAAAAATTAATTAAAAACCAAAAAAAGATTTTAAAAGATTTTAACAAGATAAAAAATAAAATATAAACCATTTTTATAAACTTTGTTGTTTTTATCCTAACATTTTGGCGTTTGTACTCTTCTGCTTTTCTCAGGTGAGTTCCAGATCTTATAACCTTCCCAGAAATATATTATCAAATGGAAACTTATTTAATCCACAGGGAAATGCTGTCATCATGCCTTTACTTTTGTTGAGAATTTCAGAACTTGTAACTGTCAGTTCTTATGATGTCAATCTGTTTCTCTAGCAATCTACACTACTTTATTCAGATTGAACTCAAAACTTCCAGGGAAGTTAACAGATGAACGATAACAGTGCTTTTACCTACAAGGTTATGCAAACAAGGTTTTGTAAAAACCATTGAGGAATGTGAAAGGATAGTGTGGCTGAAACAATACGATAAAACAAAGGAAAAGAAACTGACCTGAATTAATCAATGCATAAAAGTGATATCTTGTCACAGAAATTCAGAAAATCTTGATTTGCTACTTGAATTTTTTTTTTTTGCTAATGTGACAATTCAGCTAAAGCCAATAATTTTTCTTCATATAATAATAATAATAATGTACTCTGTATACACACATAGAAGTACTTGGTCTTGCCCAGGTTTCTAAATATCTAAAATGAATACAACAGTATGACTTCATTATACTTGTAATTGCTTTCAAAAGATGTTGATAATCTTCTGTTAGTTCAGGAATTTGGATTCTAGCAGAATTATTGCCTTTAAGCAATTAGGAAATATGAGTTGTTTTAATTATATCAAAAAAAAAAATCACAAAAATATAAACATAAGTGATCAAATATTAAATAGAATTCTATTTTTATGTTTTCTAAGAAAAAAATTATTTTTTAAAAATACTAATTTACATAATTCAGTATTTTTATTACTATGAACATTATTTTATGTACACATGTTTGAGAAGATATTGCTGTTTATTTACAAACAGTAAAATTAATGTCTACCAACCAAGATTGTCAAAAGTCTTATAATAATATTGTGTTAGCTGAGTATTTGCAATCTCGCTGCTTCAAGTAAGAAGTTTTTTAAGCTGAGTAAAAAGTGTGTACAATGTGCCCCCTGACATTGTTGCCTTTGATTTTCATTCAAAATTTCTTGTATTATGTAAAAGAAAATGCAGTAATTTTTTCCCCCCAGGTTCCAACCATTTTGCATGGCAGATACAAGTGAACAATCACTGGCTTTAAAGTAATAATAAAACAGTGGTAGATCTCAGAATTCTATTGGTTCTTGATTACTTATTGGTTAATTGACATTTGAGAGAATAACATTAATAGCTTTTCTTTGAAATCTTAAAAAAATGACAGAACGACAAACCTCAAAAACAAACATACACTTAAACTATTAATGCCCAGTCTCATTTTTAGGAGAGTGAAATTAATGGGTTATGGGTGGAAATGAAGCAAGGTGGATTAATGGATAAGCAGTTTGGATTGAGGAATCAGAGAGTCAAGTTCAAATTCCAATCAAGTTCATTACATTTACTTATGTTCTAATACCCTTGGAAAAAGTATGTGTCCATGTCTTCTACCTTTAGATATAGGTAAATAGCAGGTTAGATTGAGTTCTAAGACAGTCCGATATGTTCAATTTCATTCTGCCAACTTCTGCAATGATGTTGGTGTCAAGTTGTATTGGCCTTTGCCTTTCCCTTGGGCAACATCAGATGTACTTCATGGGTTCCAATTCTTATGATCTCTCATAAAAAAAATCCTGCCCACGCCTGCACCTTGGAGAGGGCATAAATATTTGGGTGCAGATCCATCTGCTATCGAGACTTACAGATGCTGTAAGTAGAAACCTATTATTAATACCAGATTTTTTTTTTTTTTTTAAACCTATTACATCAGGATGAGAAGTTGAAATTTTTATGGCATATAATGAAGAAAGCAGGTTTGAAAATTTTGATATTCACATTGAAGGCAAGTGGGACGGAGGAAAACAATGCACAACCTACCTAGTGAGTAAATGGGTGGCAGAACAAAGTTTAGCAGAGATAAAAAAAAAAAGACAAAATTTATTAAGAACTACAAAAGACAGAAAATTGTGGAGAGCCATGATCGCCAATATCCTGAAGCGATATGGTACATAGAAGAAAAAGATTACATTGACAGCAGGTAATGTCAGTTTTGTAATGATATAAGTATGTCCACGACAGTGAATGTGTTAATATTTTTGCTATTGTGGATATATATGTCTTTGTGAAACTTACATGCCTGCAGTTGATATGTGTGTGTGTGTATATATATATATATATATATATATATATATATATTCATTCAAGACACCATGAAATGCCTATGTCTAGCGTTTATGTTATAAACTAACTAATGCTTAGTGCTATTTCAAAACCAGTGTAGATATATCGTAGTATACAATGACTTGTTCTGTGACATATTTTTTATTATACTGTGTTGAGGATGTTGTTTAGCTTATTCTGTACTGCAGAATATTAAATTGAAACTAAAATGGCAGCACCTATGAGAAATCATTTCATGCCACTTGATTTTCATGAGAATACCGTAACACTTCCACTTCTGTGAACATATTTATACATCTTTGCAAAATGTTGACATAAATATATTGACATATGGCATTAAAGAAAGTGGAAACAGAAAGGACGCTTAGAAAGAGATTTGAAATTTGTGGGATACATAATAAGGAAAGAGGGCTTGGAGAATTTGATACTCACAAGACATAGCAGAGAGAAACAAGCAACCTAATTTAACAAGCCTGTGTAAATGAATGGCAGAACAGGGCATTAGAGGGACAGTAAAAAGAGAAACATTGCTAAGAGCTATAAAGGATAGGAATTTGTAGAGGGTCATGATCACCTACATTCTGGAGGAACATGGCACAAAAGAAGATGCATACATTCTTTGGGGACACCTTGTATTTCACAGTATAGTCTTGATTTATAAAAACATTATTATAAAAATCAATGGGAAAATAATTGTCTTTTTTAAAGTATTATATTCAGCATAAATTGTTTTAAATTAATGCCATTTTAAAGTTTATGTCTTCCATAAACAAAGTATTTGTCAGGAAAAAGCAGCAACATCAGCATTTTGTTTTTAGCTTTTTTTTTCAGAACAAGATGAGAAAGAGATGGTGGAAAATAACTGAAGGCTTTAAAGTGTGACTAAAAAGGCAAAGAGTAAGAACCAAGAGGCTTGTCAGAATGGACAGACAGGTCAACATTAGTGAGATTTAGCATCAGAGAGAAAACCGAAATAGAGAGAGAAAAAAAAACAAATAAAACAGGAAAGACATTTCTCATTTGCATTACTTCCAATGGCATTTCACTGATTTGTCATGAAGCCTTTTGAATTAAATGTCAAACAATTTATACACACAGGGAAATGTCTATAAAAGATTAGGCTGGGGTGGGTGGAAGCTAAACACACACACGTGCATGTGAAGTCTTCTCAAAATATATTCATTACAAATCAGATACAGAATGATTTGCATGTGAGGGAATATACACTTGTGTGGGTAATGTGCATTTCTGTGCTGGGTGTGGCCATTAACATGTCTTTAAAATATTTTTTCCAATGAAAATACCAAGGCAAGTGAGTCTATATGAAAAGGTACTTTAAATTTAACACAATGAAAGATGAGTTATAAAACTTTACTGATTAAAGATTGACATTGGGATTAACTTTAGACATTTGTCATACATTTGATTACTGCAAAAGCAGAATAGCATCACAGCCAAATACAAGGAAGAAAAAATCAGGTTACAATTCTGATAATTCTTTTAGGACTAATTATATATATATATATATATATATATATATATATATATATATATATATATAATTTCACTCCAAGCAAGGTGTTAATACCATTAAGATGCAGGGGGTTACTGAGAGTGAAAGAGAATGAGAAGACTTTAGTGAGTAGAAAGGACAATAAAAGAACAAGGATTCAGGAAGATAGAAGATGGCAATTGACAATGCATTTAAAGTTTTGAAGATTGTAGGGGGCAGGGAAGTAAGAGACCAGAAGAGAATTCCACAGGCAAGAAGTGTGAGAAAAGAAACTATTAAAATAGAATATACAGTTACATCTAGCTAGTTCAACAGTAGAATGGTGAGACCGAATTGCCATGATTAAATGCTACAGATAAGGATTTAAAAAAAAATTATTTAACTTTATTATTGCTTCTGTACAAGGCAACATAAATAAGTAATTAGTGTAATGCAAGAAATGTAAAAATTTAGTGATCAATTGCAAAATTTAAAAAAATAAAAAAGATTAAACTTAAATAATGACAAATTGTGAGGGGAAGGGAAATACAAACATTCAAAAACTCAGGGTGAGAAGTGACCACACTGTACTGTTTGGAAAATTGAGATCTAAAGAAATTATTTTAAAGTGTTGGGAGCTCCATAGTGTTAAGGACTGCAAGGTCTGATTTGATTAGCTACCAATGTAACTGGGCAGGTCATATAGGTAGCTACTGTAGTCAGGGAGACTGTAGGAGGAGGAGAGGGCCATTATAGTAGTAATGAACTCTTCAGACAAAGTAAAGACGCATCTACATTCTTTGCCAATGGTAGAAGTTCAGGTATGGAGAAGAAGAGCAAGAGATCTCATTGATATGAGTTATACAATTACCATGATTGCTTCAAAGTTAGTGAACAGCTGGAGTTGGATGAAAAGTATAAAAACAATCAGTGTAACGGAGATTCTGAGTAATGTGGAGTTAATGGTGCATGGGACATAACTGAAAGTTCAAGTAAATGTGCTTGACAAAATTGTTGATGGTATCAATATAGTAATGAGCATGGATGTGATTGGTCAGTAGGTGGGGTGGTGGGTATAACAGTCAATGAGGAGGAAATAGGATTCAGAAGAATACAATATTCTGTAAGAGTAGGAACTGTGAAATTGTTGAAATAAGCTCTGGATTTCTGTGCAGAATTTGACAGTGAGCAATGGACAGTTGAATTGCTCTAGAAAGGAGAGTCTGCCATGTTGAAGAATAAGGTGAGCTGCTATGAACATTCCCTGAAGTGAGGGAGGTGATAGTCAAATTTGAAAAAGCAGTAGAAAGACGTGGATTGAAGAAGAACTAGAGAGAGAAGGTAGAAAGTGGAATCTTGCTGTTAATGGTAGTTGTTCAGTCAGCAAAAAATAAGTACTTGTCAGTGTTGGACTTTTGAGAATTACTATATGACATGTCACACAGGGGAGACACTGCAGATTTATGTGAAGAGAGCTTGTGAGAGTGGAGACAAATGACAGGATCTTGAGCAATTGCTGTTTTAAAATCAACCAACATATAGCCTCGTGTGACTAGGAAAATGAGGAAATACCAGTTAGGGAAATGCAAGAGCAGAACGTATTTCTTAAATGGGGTTTAGATTCGTTTTCTATGGCTTATCAACCCTTTGCAGGTTATTTAAAGCAAGGAAAATATTTTTAGATTGTAAGAATTTGAGGGGGGGGGAGATAAACATTTAGTGATACAAGTCTTACTAATTAAATCATGGTTGTGGTGGGAAGAGGTAAGTTCAGACTTTTCCCAAGGGCATTTGTATATAAGTGAATATAATGAACCCAACTGGAATTTGAACTCTGCTCTCTGATTAATAATTCTGAGACATTTTCCGTTACACCATCTGTGCATCTAAGCTTACAATATCTGATATTCCCAAGTGGTAAAACTCAAAGGATGAGGTGAATGTATAGCTCCAGAAAAAGTAAAGGGTTCAATTCAGCAATCCTGAAAAGATTTAATTATTAAATACAGCAGACATCTAAGGAAGGTCCAAGACCACACAAAAAGAAATATTTTGATAAAATCAATTAAGATGAAAATGCTAATCTAAAAGAATGATAATAATACATCATATCATAATTCAGGTAGAAGCTAGTTATTAATTAAAAATATTACTTGATATTAAGCTTCATCTCACTTGAGAATACCTAAACGGATTCCTGAAAAATTATCTTTATTTAAAATGAAAAAAAAAAAGTAGTCATGGAATATACATAAATTCTTGAATATCTTCAACTGTTTAGAAATAAAACTAGTTTTTATACTTACATCATAGCAAGGATCAAATAGACAGGTTGCTCGAGTCCCAAAAGATCTTTCACTGATGCTTCCATAATCAGACGTGTCCACAGACACAGGTTTGGTAAGGAAGATTCTCAGGCTGGACGAGCGGTCACTACGGTCCATTAACTTGATAGCAGTATCAAGATCATTTTGACACTCCAATGGAATGTAAAACTGTCAAAATAATAGAATTCAGATATTCTTGACATTTAATAAGCTTAAGGACAAAATGAGGAAAAATGAGGATTAGGAAGATAGTGTTATACCAATGTTAGTAGGGAGAGCTTTCTTTTAAAAATCAGCACTTGAAGTTTTTATCTGGGTTTGTTGATGTCCTACTTGTGCTGGTAGATGTAACAACTTCACTCATGAAGCCAGCCAAAAATAGATATTTTTTAAGAAATAAACCAAGAAAAATTTTTTTATGTCACTAAAAGTAAGAGTTTAATATAAAAAAAAAAAAAAAAAAAAAACCCTAAACTGTATGGATTTAAAAATAAATAAAAAAAATGGCAAGATTTCTTTATTAAGCTTTAAAAAAAGGTTTAAGTGTAAAGATTTGTGGATACAGATTCCACAAAAATAGCTAATAAAAAAAGATTTTAAATATGAATTGTAAGCCCCCAAAATAAAGTTAATAACGTTAAAATTTACAAAATCTTCCATGATTTTGTTGAAGAATTTTATAATCAATTCTCTTGCTTATTTCATGGGAGATAAGGCAGAAGAAAGAAAGATGGTAGGGTTTGGGTTATGCCCTTACCCATATAATTGCGAGGCAAGCAAAGTGAGTCAGTAACAACAGAAGGAAAATATAAATGGAAATAATGTTTTTTTTTTTAGTGCAAACTAAACTGTCACTGTTTTTTATCCTATCACTTCATCTTTTTGGTTATGTTCTATCACAAAACTGAAAAGCAACAAAAAATAAATACAAATTGGGAAAAAATAGTTCAAAATAAAGAATATAGTTGATCTCAGAATCTTCAACAACTTGAAAGAGAAGAAAAATGATGAGGAGGGGAAAGAGGGAGGGAAAAAATGGAAAGGGAGAGCGATGGGAAAAATGGAAAGGGAAGAGGGAGATGTATGAGAGAAAAGGAGGAGGGCAAGGAGAAAAGGAGGAAGTGGAAAAAGAGGAGAAAAATGAGGAAGAAAAAGGTAAAGGATGAAAAAGAAAAGTAGGAGGAGGAAGAGAATGATGATGAGCCAAAGAAGCAAATATTTTATTTAAAAATGCTTAGTTAATTTGGTATGCACACAGCAGGTAAGTTATAATCTGCATTGTGACTGAAATAGTTGCATATTTCGCACCAGTGCCAAAGGTGGAATTTAGGCCAAATTAAAATCAAGGATTTTAAGAGCTGATTTTTAACATAGGCTGAAAGAAACAAAACTGCTTACCAGAAAAAAATTATTTAAAAAAATAAACTACATTGTAACAAAACACCAAAGATGAGTAAATGTTTGAAAGAAGCCATCTCATTGAAGACACCTTTTTAGTTGATTCCTATTAATTGTATTACCTGATATTTTATAGATTTCTATTAACTGTATTATTTGATAAGGTTGAGAAGTTTGATAGCCAAAATGTAGACATTAAAGCTTTTAAGACAAGTTTAATCAAAAAAATGTCCAGAAGGAAAAAAACATAACCACACATACAAATTCTTTTTCTAATTTACCAAATTTGGATTTTTCTTAACCAGAATTCACTTAGTTAAATGTTATTCTTGATAGTGCAGATGCTATTTTTGGAGAAGAGATAAACTGGAGTGCCAAAAAATTAGAGACAACTACCTAATAATATATAGCTCCTCCCTTTGCTAGACTAAAAGTGGCTATACGATGTGAATTGTTGCGGGGGTATTTCCATCTAGTCACATTCCAGGGTTTTCTGTAACATATCCAATATGTGCTCAATGGGGTTTAAATCTGGCGAATGAAAGGCCAATGGAATACCTGGAAGTTAACCAAGTGTTCTTGGAACCAGTTTTATGTCACCTGGGCATGATGGGACAGGTCATCACCACTGGGAAACAGAGCAAGTATAAAATTGGGGCTTACAACAAAATCTGTTTATGTCATACTTGTCAAGAGAGAATTCAATTTCACTCATGGTCCTTGCAAGCTCCAAAAGAAAACCCCACATCATTACAAATCACAAAGCTTGTATAGCATTATGCTGACAAGCTGAATCTATAGTTTCATGTGATCCCTTCCACACATGAACTCAATTGTCTGATCCGGTAACATAGCATTTGTCTTCCACAGTCTGATGATGCTGTTGCCTGGGTCAGATGAGGTACAGTAATCAATGTCATGGTGTCAGTTATGGTACACTTGTTGGTGAAAATATCCTCATGAAACACAGTATACTGTGTTGAATAGATTGGTGGGTTTATCAGTACTGGTGTTGAATTGGGATATTATTTGATACATTTGGATAGTTATTATTCTTGTCAACTGCCAATTCTACTGTTGTTGCATCACCTGTTTTCATCTGCAGTTTTCAAATCCTCTCTGGAATTAACATATATCCAGTATAACTTTGCTATTTTTGCCTGAGAAAAACTTTGTCAATTTGAAGATAGGGTGCTAAACTTTTTTTGACCACATAAACATTCTGCAGTCAGTGTTAAATTCTGTTTCCCATAAATACCATAGCTACACTACCTATTTACTTCTTATGCCAACACATGTCATTTGGCTGAGTTTATTTCTGCAAGTGGGAGAGTGTGAATCTATGCATTGTATTGTTGGCTGATATTTTGGCACTTAAGTTTAGTATAGATTTTATAATAAACATGTAATAATTTTTCATCAAGATGACATATTCAATGATTTTGTGATTTCTACATGTTAGATGTATTCATATATAAGTGTACTGAATGGAAATCAACCAAAATGTCAGTTACAGTTTAGTTTGAAATCTATTCTTGATGGGAAGAGCCTCAGATGCAAAAATTATTCACTAGATAAAAAAAATATAAATAATACACGTATTATAATATTTTATCCAGCTACACATAAATATTTGAATAGAAATAAAAAATATATTTGCTGAAATTCACTTTGTAATAACAGATAATGTAGTATAATTATAATTTGTGGCTATTCAGATGTAACATATCTTAAATTGCTAATTTATTGATGAAAAATCCTAAGTTGACTTTTACAGGGTGCGATAGGTAAATTGTCGCCATTGTATATTTTTAATTTTGTGTATGTGTGTTGTTTGTTTTTGTCAACTGCACAGTATAGCAGTGTCATTTGGGCACTGTGAGAAAAAGAGCACCATGATACAATTCACTCCATGCAGAAATTTGGAGACGGCATGCTGTACTGCTTGGCATTTGCACCAGAAACTCCAATGCAAACATTTCTGAGCGTTTGAATGTCGGTGAAGTGCAGAGGATTTGGAAAGTGTTGGACGAGTCTAATGGTGATTATTGTGGTACAACATCTCGGAAAACACACTCTGATCATTTTGATAAGAACTGAATTTGTTGGTGAGATCCAGGCCATGATTGACAACAATCCCTCCAAGTCAATGAGGTTCATAGTCAGGAAGACAGGAGTATCTGAGTTTCATATCAGGCAGGTAGCGTATGAAGACATTCAGTATTTCTCATACAAGATGAGGAAGGGTCAATTTTTATACCAAGCCATGAAGGAAAAGAGAAAAGACTGCAGTAGAAAACTTCTGAACAAATTCAAGCATCCCTCCAACTGAACATGCATTGGTTTTTCTCAGACAAGAAAAAATTGTACCAGGATAAGATGGTGAACACACATAACAACTGTCGACTTGCTGTGTCCACAAAAAATGTACCGAGAATGATGAAAACCAAATATCCAGGCAATGTCATAATGTTTGGAGTGATCACTAGTGATGGCGAGGTTATGCCTCCATTCATCTTCCCACAGGGCCTCAGACTCAACATGGTGGCCTACATCTGCTTGTGTGACATGGTGCAGGGTCCTTTTGGCAGACATAGGGTCAAGAAAGTGGCTGCTGGAAGACCCTATGTCTGATAACAGGACTCTGCACCATGTCAAGGAGAATCCAGTCATGACTGTCAGACAATTACTGTAACTACATCTCCACTTACATCTGGCTACGTAACACGCCAGACTTTAACTCCCTTCATTTTTATGTGTGGGGCTCAGTTGAATGAGAGACCAACAAAAGTCTATATAACATGAAAGATGAACTGAAAGAAAGGATTATAGCAGTATTCACCAACTTAAACAAGATCATCTGCAGATTTACAGGAGTTTTTGAAGTCATCTGTAGACTGTGGCTGAAGTTAATGGTGATTTTATTAAATAAATTCACTCTTAAGTATTCCAAGATATTTTTGTGTAATTTGGGTAAATATATCTGTTAAAATGAAATGTCAGTGTTATTTTCATTTTTGCGTAATTTAGACAATTAATCTAGTGTGTGTGTGTGTGTGTATATATATATATATATATATATATATATATATATATACATACATACATACATACATACATACATATGGTTAATACAAATAAATGTAATTTGTCAAGTAAAAGAAAAAAGAAGAAAACGTAAATAATATCAGTAATAAACACTATAAAAATAAATTAATATGTTGCAGGCCATGGTGTACATGTTGTGGAGATGAACACATGTGATCTCCTGAAATAGCCCACAACAAACATAGTGGACTTGGTATGTATGAGTCTACCAAATGAAATGTAAAAGGAAAATGTGAAGAAACAAGAACCAATATATATGTACAGACAAATAATAAAAAAGACAATAATGTGTGTGTAACAAATTAATATGGAGAGTTTATGCTTTTATGAGTTTTCAAAGTATACGTGAGTGAATGTTCATACATATGTGTGCGTGTTTATAATGTTCATGCGTGTCCCACAAGAAAGTACACTTTCTTTTGTGAGGGCTTTACATTGTTGTAGTGTCTGCTAAAAATGAGAAAGAGAGAGCAAGACAGGAACTCGATGAGTATATATAGTATTTGAGATTGCCCCCAAGTAATGGTTTCAAAATTTAGGAGGAGTTAACTCTGACAAATATATATTTTTATTGAATTGACTGACATCATTAATTGGAAGAATCTGTTTGATGTGCAGTAGTAATGGCATTGCGATTTGGTTGGCAATTGGTGAGTTTTAGTCATAACTATGTTCTGCTTGTTTCAATCTGATCCTCTGATTAATTAGAATTGCATTTGTGTGGTTAAAGCTGGCTTCAACCATGTGTAAACTTGGTTGATTGTTTTGTTTTTTATGTGTTATCAACCTTTTTGTGGGTTATTTAAAGCCAAAACATATTTTAGATTGTAGGAGCTTGCACACAGTACATGGTGTTCCCAAGCAATCCTCCATCTAAGTACTGACCAGGCTTGATCTTACTAAACTTCAATAACTGAATGGGAATTGGTTTTTATAACATAATTTAACCATAAGCTGTATGACTTTGGAAATGAAAGTAAAAATGGCTCAGCAGCTGCATTAAGCTTGGGGTATTTAGTAGTAGTATATACATTATTCAAATAGTCACTAAAGCTTTTATTTTCAAATCAAACAGTTTAATAATCCAGTCAAGTATGTGCTTTTTTATCAATTATTATTTCTTGACTTATGCAAATGTCTGATTGTGATCTGAAAAGTTTAACTAATTCCCCAGCATTTATCAATGAACTTCTGAGCATTTATTGAGTCCTTAGAAAGTTACATTGATACAGACCACATTGGGGGTTTAATCAAATGTTTAAAAAACAACAAAAAAAACAAAACAAACAAAAAAACAATGAACCTGATAAAGAATAAATAAAAAAAAAATCTTACCTCTCCATTGGGTTGGGTGTAAAACATTAAGAGCTTCATCCCGTAACGTTGTATCACCAAATGCACCAGATCATCATATGATATAGACCGGCTGACTTGGATAGCTCTGAAATAAACAAACATTAAAAAAAGCCTTTTTTCATTTCATATATATAAAATTCTCTTAGGATTAACCACATGAAAATGATTTTCAAAATTTTCATTGATTCAAATTAGAACAACACAGTGGCCAAACACAAGTTCTTATTGATGGTAACCAGAAATATGTGGCTAGAATTGTCTGCAGGAAAAGACAAGTGATATTGGCACAAATCACATTTACATTCTATGCAAGAGATACCAGAAACATATCCATAAGGTTAGTCAAGCATTTTTTTTAGCTTCCATAGGATATGGTAGCAGGTAACCTAATAGGATGCTCTTGTTAACACTATGACACCAGACACAGCACATCACTTGGATTCATAACATTACTGATTAGATACTGGAGGATTTGCAACATGTACCATCATCCAATGAGTCATGGTCCCAGTTGTTTGGAGTTGATGGTGGGGTTTGTGCATTGTGCAGACCCCATGAGGTCATGAACTTCAGTTGTTAAAAAAAAAAATCAGAACTTATTTATAAAACTAGATACAGTAAAATGATTTTATCCTAGTTATCTACTTTGAGATTGACTGATTGATATTTTACATGTTATCAACCAATTGTGAGTAATTTAAAACCAAAACCTATTTTAAATTGTAAGAATAATTCTTTTTTCTTTTCTTTTTGCAAGCGAATATTGAACTAACAGTTTCATTGAGATAATGATTTTCCCAGACAAATTCTACTATTTAACCTATATCTGGGAAAGTTGGATCCATACCTTTCTCAACAGTATTTGCACATAAGTGAATGGAATGAATTTGGCTGCAATTTGAACTCGGCTCCCAAATTTCCGATTCCGAGTCACTATCCATTACACAACCCACACATCCTATTATGGAACTCATCAGATTGGATATAGTCATGTAATAAGTCCTATAACCCACCAGGTCATAGGAGAACCATTTGTACTGCAGCTATAGCCCATCCCTCTTCAAACTGGTTTTGAATTCAAAGTTTTTTCCTTCTAGACTAATTTGCACCTCAAAGCAAAAAGAGTTCAGTCAGCCTTGCTATTTAAGCCATAGTTAGGGTGAGAAGAGATGGATTCATACCTTTTTTTAAAGGTATTTCTGTGAAAGTGAATATAATGAACTCAGAGCTTGGCTTGCTGATTTTTCTTTCTGATATGCTAACCATTACATATTTTTCTTATTGAACTGCTATTTATTCAGAATACCGTGATGATAAAAACATCTCAAGATTGATTACCCTAGATATCTCTAAAGCCTTTGACAAGGTGTGACACGGGGATTGCTACACAAACTTGCCAGCTATGGAATGTCTGGGAGAGTTCTCTCTGTTCTTCCTGTCAGGTACATCAATGAAGGTTGTCATTAATTGCCAATCCTCTGAGGCACACAAGAACTCTTCTCAGCTCAACTCACTTTCTCTTTTATATTAACAATCTGCCAAAGAAAATACTCAGATTCTTAGTAAATATATATGACACCACAGTGTATGGGAGCAGTTTGAAATATCTGTATGACCAGAGTGCCTAGCAGCTGATCTCTCCTCTGACTTAACTAATAGCTTAATGGTGGGAAAAGACAGGCTGGTATCATTCAAAAACAAAATAAATCTAGTAACATTTCATCACCACCAAGCAGACCCTAAACTTGCACCAATCCTGATGTGTCATCATATCCTTAAAGAGGCTCTTTGCCTTGAATGTCTACTGGGTTTAAAGCTCACTCCCAAACTCAAATGGAACATTGTAAAAGATGCTGGAAGAATGGTTGGTTCCTTGAATCACCACAGAAGATACCTAACTCCTGCTACAATGCTCTATCTTTAAAAGAGTCAGATCAGACCAAGAATGAAGTACTGCTATTGGTGCTGCCCAGTGCTCACTGTCTGGTATTGACAGGGGTCAGAAGTGATTTCATAGCCTTGTAGGTGATGAATTATTCTCCACCCTGCAACCCTTATCTGTGTAGATGAAACATTCCTAGCCTTTCACTACTCTATCACTATGGCAAATGTTCAAATAAATTACATTCCTTAGTTCCACCAGCTCAGACCTATACAGCTAGCCCCCGCCCACCATGTTCTCAGTAGTAAATCGTTCCTTTGATAAAGAGCAAGTTCCGCCATCACAGATCCTTCCCCAGAACTGTTACCATGTGGAACAAATTCCTGAGAGGAACTACAATCTTGATCTTTTCAAGGCTAGGGCCAACCGATATCTATTCTACATGTCCTTGTAATATAGACTTCTTACTCCTTCCACCTCCCTTACAACAATCTTGTTCAGTAACTATCTACATTGAGTGACCCTTGGGCCCTTTATTGGGTAAACTAACAGAATAAAACAAAACCCCAAAAAGCAGCCATTATATCCAATAATGAATATAGCGTTAAATAATGTCATATGTTCAAAACTTTGGCATGTATTAAATTCATATATAGGCTGATGTTTCTTTATTTCTATTTATACATTGTATATTCAAAAGAAATGGTTTGGTTTGTTGTGTTTTATGGCATATCAACCTCAATGGGTTATTTAATGCCGACAACTTTTTTTCCTGGTAATATTTTGTTTTGTCAAAAATCTATTTCTGGTAATATTTTTTTCCTCAAAAATGTATAGCTGGTAATATTATTTTAAAACGTGTATTGCTGGTAATATTTTTTTTATTTCAAAAACGTATTGCTGGTTATATTTTTTTTTCAAAAATATATTCCTGGTAATATTTTTTTTACAAAGTATTTCTGGTATTAAAACCTATTTTTACACTTTTATAATGCATTTTACCTCAGTTTCAGGGTTAACTATTTGCCCATAGCTGGGACCATAACAGGTGCTACCATCCCGGGTCAGGGTGGACCTGGAAACACCAGCAATTAAGAGGTGTTTCCACGCTCCTCAAAATCTCCTGATCAGAGGCCTTGCTGTTGGACGTAGTTTATTGTCTTACCATGGACGTGGATGTAGTTTATTGTCATACCCAGGAGGGCAAAAGAAATGGATTTTAAGGATCAATATTTGTATTATAAGTGTACAAAATAGAATGAAACACAGCAGGAAAAAATGCTGATGTTTAAAGTAGAAAAAATAGGGATAATATCTGTTTATTTAACCCAATTTGAATTGGACTATCTGACAGAAGAAGTAGTTTTATTTATTTTTATTGTAGGGGAGTTCTACTCATAAAGGCTTGAACCTGAATTAACACCTCAAAATTTTAGTGATCAACTTTATGTAACAGTATATTCTGTTCTACACAAAAAAAGACAGAAGTTGTTTTTTCTTGTTTTTTATAGATAACATTTTGAATAGAATCTTTAATGTCATTATAAACACACACATACAAAAAAAGAGAAAATAAATCAGCCTAATAGCAATAAGAGCATCCCAAACTAGTGCATAAACTGATTTGCATCAAACATAGTATAAAGAAAATGCAAAATGAGAAAAAACAGCAGTTAATTGCTGAAACCTCCTGAAGTGGATTGAACAATTACCAAAAAGTTAATCTACAAATCTTTAGAGTTGAGGTGTGGATGAAGTTGAATATAAGATCAATCAGCTAAGTGACAAATTACATTTATTTGTATTAATTATATATATATATATATATATATATATATATATATATATATATATATACACACACACACACACACACACACACACAGAGGGCACGATAGCTAAATTATCTAAATTATGCAAAAATGAAAATAACATTAACATCTCATTTTAACATATATCCACCAAAATCACACAATTGAAGAGTAAATTTATTCATTAAAATCAACATTTTGATGTTACAAAGAGTTTTGTTGGTCTCTCATTCAACTGCACCCCACACATAATAATGAAGGGAGTTACAGTTGTGGCCAAGGGCTTGAGTGTGCTGGCCTTGTTCAAATTGCTGATCATGCTAGAAAACACACTCTTTTCCAGAAACTGTAACTAAGGTCTGCTCAGCATAGTTGTAGTATAAACCATGGGTGAGGTCTGTGGGTGTTGAATAAACACAAATGCACCTGAGGAAGCATCATTAATAGGAATTGGCTAGCCATCCAAGTCACCAGCTATACATATATACAGTCTGGGGAGTTATATAGCCAGATTTAAGGAGTGATGAGGTCGCAGAAATTGTCTGCAGCCATGACTGGGTTCTCCTGCTTGTGTGGCCTCATGCAGAATCTGTTTTTCAGCAGCCACCCTCTTGACCCAGAGCTGCACTACCTCCTCAAGGCAATTGATGTAGGCCTCTTTGTTGAGTCTGAGGCCCTCACCTACAAATTTAGGAGTTCTTTTCTTATCAGAACAATCAGAGTGAGTTTTACAAGCTGTCATACCTTTGTAATCACCATTAGGCTCATCCAGGTCTTTCATATTCCTCTGCCCTGTCCTCAAATTGACAAGCTAACATGATGAAATGTTCGTATTGGAGCTTCCAGTGTGAATGCCAAGCAGTACAGCTGCCATTTCCAAATTTCTGGCTGAGTAAATTGCATCATAGTGCTCTTTTTCTCACAGATGATGCCCAACTAATCCTACTATACAGTGCAGTTGACAAATTCAAAAACAAATAATCCACATGCATGAAATAAAAAATATAAAATGGTGACAATTTACCCATTGCAGCCTCTCTCACTGTCTCTCTGTGCTTATGTATGTATGTATGTAAATAATTTAATAAAAGTTCAATCGACTTATCTTTTGACTGACTTAGAGGGTCTGATAAAATCTATTGAACTATTAACAGATATCATATTTATACTTTACATAATAAACATAAATCATAGACTCCAAACAAATTTCAAATTTGTACAATGCTAGAGTCTGTTAAGAACTTGACAACATTTCAATATTTATAAACAATATATTATGATTATATTAAAGTGCAAATTTTTATATATAATTTTGTGAAAATATCTTAGAAAATAAATTAAACTCGGCATATTTGATAAACATATATAACATGTATATAAAAGATTGAGAAA